GAACAGCATATCAGCAAGCACTTCTTGAATTGTCCAGCCATACTTTAACTTACAAATGCCCCTACAATGACGAAATCATCGGTCACACTTATATGAGACTGTCTTACGGACTATCAAAATGTTAAATTTCTGACGCCAAGAGCCCCCACCCCGGCCCAACATAGTATTTGGAGGATGTAAATTACGGTAACTCAATGGCTCAACAGACAGGATCAAATGCCAGTGCGCATAAGGGATCTGCATGCCTACTCTGAGCATATTTCTTACACTGTGGCTGTCGAAGTTTAAACTTGAGTCTCTTCTCCCAAATACTGTTTACTAAATCAGTGAGTTAAGCCCGTGCAGGCATATTTAGGACTAATCTTGTCATAATTAGAAAGTGACATATAACTTAGGGTGGACTCCACTTACTACTAACACCCAAATATAAAATGTAGGTGAGATGATATATATAGCATTGAATAATTGAATGCAGTATCATGTGATTACGAGTAATAACTTCAAACTATGCAATCACCTTTTTGCCTATAGATAAGTTCATCAAATACACGTGTGAGGAGAAAGAGAGAGAGAGAGTACCTAAAAGTATATATGATGTGCCAAGACTTGAGAATTGGAGCAAAGAATGCAGAAAAAAAGGTCAGCTATAATACCATGACTATCTGGGAATTGAAGGCAATTCAATCCCCTTTGGCCTTTGCTCTATCCACAACTACAACCAAAACCTTCTTCAGAAGACCAGCCGGCAATGAAAACCACAAATTTAAAATATAATAATAAACTAAAAAGACAAAAAGAAGAGAATGAATGAGAAGATGAAATATTATATTGGAGATGAGTTTTGTGGTGAAGTAAAGCCAAATGAGAGTTATCCCTTGAGGGCCTCAAGACCACAACTGTTGTCCACAATTTGGCATGGCCGTTTCTATCTAGGAAGCACCAGCTTTTATCTACTTATCCCTTGTGTGGCATTCAATTTAGTGCACCAACCATCAACACCGGATGGATCAGATTAATTCTCACTTTTTATCTGAGAGTGTATTCTCACATGTATATGTATAGGTTACGATTAGGCCGGTGGGAACGTACGAACTCTAAAATACACCATATAAAACAACAAAGTGCATTTTATAATAGTACTTACAAGTGTAACTCAAAAGTAAATTTCGAAACTTAATAAAAGTGCACAACAAAAACTCTAAACGTGCAAATTAAACTACAATCAGTAATCAGAAGTACAATAAAAATCTTCTAAAAGTGCACAATCTAGAATTGTTATAAGTACACAAGTTTGCACGTTTGCACTTGGACGCGCGTTTTCATTAATAGATTAAATGAGAACAAATCTAATATAATATATATAAAGTTCTTGAGTTTGCAGTCAAATAATTTAAATAATTACAAAATACATACCATTAATAAAAAAATATAATGCATAGAAATGTCTACTTTATATAAGTAAAAGGTCAAAATTAAACTCTTAAAAACATACGGAGTATTTTACAACATAAAAACATGTTTGAATATTATAGTCATCAATTAATAATTAAATCAAGAGAATTAATTATTGTTAGGGTTATATATCATTATAGCAAAATTTATTATTATTATTGTTATTATTATTATTGAAAATAAAATTAGCAACATATTAAATAAGTAACCTATCAAAATTATAGAATCTTAAAATACACTGATTAACATTACATAATATTTAAATTAACAGATTAAAAAAAAAACAGAATATCAAAATTACATAATAATAAAATTAGAAAAAATAAATAAATTAAATAATTGAATATATATATATATATATATATATATATATATATATATATATATATATATATATATATATATATATATATATATATATATATATATATATATACTAGTATTTTATATGCGCAATGCACAAAAATATATGCCAAATATTAATACTCAATGTTAAAATTTTAGTTACTTTTATTTATTTATTTATAATTGTAGAATTTATATTAATATTATTGAAGTAAGAATTATAGAAATGATAAATTACTAAATATAACTATGGTAACATTTAATTAAAATCTAAATAAAATCAAACTTACCATTGAAGAATGTAAGAAAAAAATATTGTGTATGCATGTGCATGGTAATAATAATATGGAATGATAACAGACGTTATAACGTTAGGGATATTTTTGTCCAAAAAATTATGTAGTACAACTTTTATAGCATAAGGTACAAAAAAGTTAACGGAAAAAACGGACAAAAACCAGGGATATAACCTGGATTGAAACTTATTATGTTTTTAGATTTTAGATATGGAAGGGTTCAAGTGCGGGTTAGACTTTTCGTGCGATTGACGCACCTTAAGCATTAAAATGGTACACCTTAAGTACACAAATCACCATGCACCTTAAGCACACAATCAAAGCACCCTAAGAACACAAACCACTCGCCTTAAGTACAAAAACCACGCACCTTAAGCATACAACAAAGCACCTTAAGAACACAAACCACGCACCTTAAGTTTCAACAAAAACTTGTTGGAAAAAATAGCTTAAAATGGCATAAAATGGCATATTAAGTGGCTATTTTGTGGTACAATTATCAGTAGGGTCCACTTCCGATTTGGGTCGGGTCAAAGTGGATTCGGGTTCTTCGTAGTGAGACGAAGAGATTGATATATTGTACGCTCAAAACGGATAATTGGTGAATGAGATATTGATTCTCAAAGTAGACCCATTTGAGTTGGAAAATAAAGGAAAAAAGTGAGCTTTTGTTCCACATTGATTTGGGAAGTGAATTTGCCCCACTATTTATACATGAGCTCTTTTTAAGCTTATTGAATTGTATAGCATAGAGGCTCTCTCTCGTGTGCAGGGAGGTGCACATTAAATCCCAAAATTTCGGTATTCATTTTCCGACACAGCCACTGGAAAATTTCGTGGAGGTTAAGTGCAAGTTTCGGCCACTTGGCCGAAACTTTGAAATGGCCAAGTGGCCAGTTTCGGTCAAATGGAAATGGCCGAAACTTTGTGCAAAGTTTCGGCAAAGGCAGTTTCGGCTTTGGCCGAAATTGTGCTGGCCATGCACAGTTTTCCTACAGCTTCTAATTTTTGTGACTGTTGGGATTTAATTCCAGCTGTTATGGGATTAATGGCAATTTTAATTTTTGAATTAACACCCATGTTAATGGTGGATGTTACAAGAAGTTGTAGGGATGCCCCTAAATGCCATAATAAAGGCTATTCACTCCTCACTCTCTATATAAGAAGGGGTAGAGTGCAGCAGAATTTTTCTAAGGGAAAAAAATAAGAGTAACACACAAGAAAAATAATTTTTTCAAGCCTCAAAATACTTCTGCTTCTACTCCATTCTTGAAGCTGTGCTTTTGCCCGTGCTCTTGTTCGCCGGGTTCGTTCGTTTGGGTGCTCAAACGTCGAACCGTTGTACGTTTTATCCTGGGAGACCTAGGCCACAACGCTCCTAGCACTTTTGGGATGTGGCAAATAAGGTTTTAAGGAAAGAAAGGCACTCGCCTAACTCGTACATTTCTTTCTTCCTTCTCCTTCTTTCTTGTTTGGATTATGCTTTGAAGCAAAAATCCGTTCTCTCTCTTTTGATATATTATTTGGATTGGACTCATAATCTGAGGACTATTAGTTTTAATTTTGGTTGATATATATTGGTATATCTTTTTCGTAGATATACATGTATATATAACCTTTGGATCCGTTTTATATATATTTGTGTGTATATATATATTTCGGATAAATATCCAATAATATTTTATATACTAGTGTGTGTATATATAAATATTATTTTTGGGATATTAAATCCCGATTGTCGTTCATTATCTCCAACAAAACTAACATTAAGCACACAACTTAAGCACAAAAACTACTCACCTTAAGTTTCAACAAATACTCACATTAAGCACACAACCCACGCACCTTAAGCACAAAATCCATGCACCTTAACCACAAAAATCACGCATCTTAAATTCGACCTAGATGCAAAAATTATCAAATTGTCACCGTGTGTGTTTTTTTTAAAATTTTTTTGATAATCCTGGACGTTGATTTAAGCAAGATCAATAAATATATATATGGTAGAGTTCCAGTGAGAACATGTGCTTATGTGAGAACGTGGGGACACATCATATGCATCCATCTAATATTTTTTAATGGTCTAGATTAGATTAAGTGTGTGCGAACGCGCATTAAATGTGTGCAAACGCGATTTAGTGTGTTCGCACACAATTAATCTAATATAGACCATTAAAAAAATATTAGATGGATGCACATGATGTGTTCTTACGTTCTCACCTAAGCACATGTTCTCATATGATCCCAACTATATATATATATATATATATATATATATATATATATATATATATATATATATATATATATATATATATATATATATATATATATATATATATATAATTGTATATATGAGGGTTTAAGTGAGAACAACTCCCATTTAAAAACCAAGACTATGTGGTCTAATGGTACCCGGGTTGGACTTCCATTTGGAAGGTTATGAGTTTGAGCCTCGGTAGAGGCGAATTGAGAATCGAAGTCTAGTATCTAACAAATACTAAACGTCCAAGTTTGCAATAATTATAAAATGAACTCCGCTTTCAAAAATTTTCAATAATTATAAAATTAACTCCATATTTTTGTTTACTAGAACCCTCAACTATTGATGAATCTTGAGGTAAAATAAAAAATAAAAAAAAAAAAGTTAAAATAAAGCTCCTTCAAAAATGTATTTGACAAATTATCAAAATTTTAGATGAATCACAAATATATTAAGTGTAATATGAATATTTTTTAATAATAAAAAAAGAAGTTACTTTATTATATGAAATTATAAATTTGTAATTCATTCAAATCATTTTCCCTCTAAACACACTAATGACACTATCACAGCAGATTGGGAATTTCAAGATTTATTACAGTAAATTTTTTTTTTTTTTTCAAAGAGAATAAATTGTATTGGAAATCTACTTCTGCAAATCTAAGAAAAAGGGATGGGCTTGCAAAATAGGGTAAGGGAAGATAACGGAATTTGCTTTGTTGTGTAAAAAGTAAAAACCACTGCGCAAAACCTAATTCATATTTTTGCGTTGACATTTCACATCCTCTTCCCCGAAGAAAAATCCCTCTTATCTCGGTCTTAGCAGGAATTCTGGTAATTATCTAGTTTTTATGATTCACAAAAAATTTCATTTTCACAGTTATTCATAATCAAATTAAGGTTTTTCTTTTCGAGGTACAAGTATTAACTTCAAATTTATCTGTTTTTCAATTTCTATGTGGAGATTTTACTTCAATGCAGATTGATCGCGTTGCATAATTGTAGTCTGTATACAGTTTAATTTTTTATATTAATCAAATGGATTTGTTAAGATTTGATTCTTACTCTTTGTTTGGCTGATTTTGTTAGTGGATAACCATGGCTGAACAGAAGAAGAATGAACCAGTGTTCGTCAAGGTTGAGAAGCTGCGGCCAATGGCTAGCGGGCTCAATATAACGGTGAAGGTTCTTAGTGTGAAGACCGTAGTTCCAAAGGGAAATCTAAACCGTCCGATGCGACTAGTTGAGTGCTTGGTTGGTGATGAAACTGGAATCATCATCTTCACTGCTAGACATGAGCAAGGTATATCGTTTCTTTCCGTTCAATTTTTTGAACCTATTATTCTTTTCCAAGTTATACTGGTTTGAGACTGTGGTGGTTACAATAATTGGAATTATAAATACTGTATGGCTAGGAGATTTAGAACTTTGTTAGAGAAAGAATTGCAATTCTGTGCAACTCAGATTTCAGAAACGCAATATGTATGATTTGGGCTCTTTGAGGCCAATATAATTGCCATGTTTGATTTCAGGAACCTTAATTCAGATCGTTCTGTTGCTTGTTTTAAATTTACTGTATGCCTGTTAAGATTATTTTTTGGGGCGTAAGATTGAAGGTAATACAGATGGTATCTTGTATTCTTGTCAATTGACTAGGGTACTTTGAAAGAAAGAGCGGAAAAGCCGAGTAGTTTAGAAATTCAACCCTTTTTGTATAGGTATTTAAAGTCATTGATTTGAGTGAGACATTCTTCTTTATTGGGGAAAGTAAGAGCAAGACATTTTGTGCTGCACTGAACTCTTGTTCTTTGAATCTTTACATGTTAATTTGGTTGCCTTTAGGTTTGGAATGATAAAGAGGAATCATGTACAGACAGGCAGTTAGCCTTTTCTTCTTTGATTGCCTTTAGGTTTGGATTTTGGAATGATAAAGAGGAATCATGTACAGACAAGCAGTTAACTCTTTCTTCTTTGAATCTTTAAGGGGATACAACTATGTATTTGACACCTGGTGAACTTTGCTGTATTTGATATGTCTTTCTTCTTTGTGGATTAACTATGCGCATGAATGGTGGGACTATCAAAGTATTATTAATCCCCCTGTCTCTAACAAGATCATTTTGTGCAGTGGACCTGATGACCGAGGGAGCTACACTAACCTTGCGTAATGCAAAAATTGATATGTTCAAGGGATCAATGAGGCTCGCAGTGGATAGATGGGGTCGCATTGAAGTTACTGAACCTGAGAGTTTTTCTGTGAAGGAAGATAACAATTTATCGCTTATCGAGTTTGAACAGGTGAATGTTTTTGGGTAATTCGGTAGAGCATTAACGCATACAACAGTCTTATTATATTTAGAAATTTCAATTGCTCTACTATGTATTTCTTGTAATTCCAGTTGGTTTCAAAAGTTATTGTTTACAACACCATGATTAAGATTCAATCTAGTTCTTATGATGCTTTCTTCAAGTGCATACAGGGATTCAGTACAGCCAACCAAGAATTATGAGATATTAATTTTGGGGAAAAGTGCACTTTTTTTCCTAAGTTATAGGGTAATTATAGAATTCGTCCCTGAGTGTTGATCATGCTCACTTTTCTTCCCAAAGTTATCATTGTCGTTGCACTTTTCGTCTTTCCGTGCTCACTTTTTGTTCTTGAGTTATACTAAAATTGCAAATTTCGTCCATAATGTTTTATTAGTAAAGGGACGAAAAGTGCAACGTCATGACTAACACTTAGGACGAATTCTACAATTACCCTATAATTTAAGGACAAAAAATGTAATTTTTCCTTAATTTTGTTTATTGGGAAGTTTATGAGACATTTATTTGCTAGACTAGAGACTTTGTGCTTAGACTCTGTAGAGAATATGGGCAAAGAGCCAAAGACTGGTGTTCATAAAGTCCCCTAAAGAAATATTTTATATTACTGGTGTGTTTAGGTGGCAAACTAGTTTAAGTTATTTTTGGATTGATGAAAATGGATTGAATGAAAATTCTAAACGTTTTTTTTAATTAGTCCAAATTAATTATGGGTTATATAGAAACTTGAGTTAGTAAAAATGTAATAGTTTTATTTCTATAGTACTACAAGTTTATTTTCACAATAATTGTAATGTAACTACATTATACTGATGGATCTCAAATAGATGCATTAATTGAATGCTACAAATTTATTTTCACAATATTAATAATTCATTATTGTAATAGTAAAGTAGGTTACTGTTAGGATTTTTTTTTTTTTTTATGAATAAAATAAAAATCACATAGGCTTGTAAGTGCTAAACTTGCCAGACTAAAAACACTCTCGTATATAATCAGATGTTGCAATTTCTTCACTATTTTATTTAGAGCATTAAGAACAACAAGAATAATGATTTTCTTTTAGATTTTTGTGTGATAGGAACAAACACACAAAAGATCTAATGAGAATTCATAGTGGGCTCATCACTGTATTCTTAAAGCATCATGTTTGGAAGAAACAAGAAAGTCCAATAAGAATTCCATTTTATAAATAAAAGAATTATAGAATCTCAAATCCAAGCCCAATCAAGGATGTTGGATACTTAGATTATTTTACTTAAAATAAAGTTGATTTGGAAGAGCCCTAATTAGACCACTTTCCTACTTAGATTAGGAAACTTGTTTCCTATTTTAAGTTGTTATTTTTATTGTTTTCTTTATTAGATTTTTAGAATGTTCCTTATCAGATTTTTAGAAGGTTTCTTTATTAGATTTTTAAAAAGATTCTATAGGCATGTTCACCTAAAAAAGGGGCGTGTGTATTATGATTTTAGATAGAAAGTTATCAATAAAATTCCTTTAAATTTTCTTTACACTTGTGTAAGTATTCTTTTTACTATTCGTAGACCTATCAAATAGTGTATGATCATATAGAATAAATATTATGAACATAATAAATTATTAATGCTACTAAATACGGTGCGCCAATAGTATAATTTTTATGAACATATAGAATAAACATTATTAACCTACTATATGGAGTAAATGGAAATGCGTATGTACATTTAGTTTAGTATTTATGTACATTAAAGTTTAGGTTTATGAACATAAATAACAAATATTATGAACATAGTACAAGATAAATGTTACTAAACATGATGAGTCTATAGTGTAATCTTTATGTACATTAAGTTTTATTTTTATAAACATATAGAATGAACATTATGAATCTACTATGATGTACAAAAGTTTAGTGTCTATATATGATATAAGGTTTAGGTTTATAAACATATAGAATAAATACTATGAACAACCCCGCTTAGTAACATAGCTTATCAGTCAATTTTGGCTTATTTGACCACTATTAGCTGATTGACTTGGTTAAACAGCCAATATTTTTGAAAGTAAACTGTTGCATATATTAATCAATCAAAGCTGAAACAAAAGTAGGAGGATCATCCTCCCACACCGAAGAGTATGCCTGTAATGAGGCTGACTGAGCTAACGAATGAGCTAAAACATTTAAAGTACGAGGAATTTAAATAACAGAACAAGAAACTAATAAATTCATCAAGTCCCGACATGCTGAAACAGCTAAACCATCATAAGTGCGAAACTCCGTCGCTGAATTACCAAGAGCGTGACACAGGTTCGAACAATCTGACCGAAGCACCACTTCCGTGACCCCACGATCTCTAAGCCAGGAAAGGGCCTCCTTACATGCGTAAGCCTCCGCCATAAAGGGTCCCTGACATAACGGTAAAGGGTCGTTTTTGGCTGCAATAAAACTCCCATCCACGTCTTGCAATACAACACCATACGCCCCCCTTCTTGTTTCGGCCGAGAATGCCGCATCGAAAGAACACCGCAGCAGTGCGGCAGACTGCCCAGCAGCGGCACTCGGTGCGTCTGTCTGCTGCTGCCTTTCCGTGCGAACCGTAGCCGCGCGCCACGCATGAAGAGATGCCAACGCTCTTTCATACACATGTCATGGCCTACCCACCTTATGCTCCCAAACTGCTGAGTTCCGTTGCAACCAAATATGGTACATAATGGCCACCATAGCAGTAAATTGATCATCATCAACATTTTGCAATAACAATTCAAGCCATACACCAAAATCATCCATCATTAACATTTTGCAATAACAATTCAAGCCATACACCAAAATCATCACCCACCGTACTCTGCACAATAAAGCCCGAAATATTCCACACACATTTAGAATAGTCACATTGTACCAAAGAGTGTAAAATATTTTCAGAACAAAGAGTACACAAAGGGCATGCTAATGGGACTTCTACCCTTCTACTATATAAATTCATAGTGGTGGGAAGCACTCCCCTCACTGCTCTTCACAAGAAAACCTTCCACTTAGGGGGTGCCTTCAGGTTCCAAATTTTATTCCAAGATGAAAAACCACTGGGGGTACAATAACGGTTCCCATTAAATCACGGTAAGCGGCTTTTACTGTATAAATTCCTTTTGGGTCCCCATGCCAATACCACATATCATCATAGGCAGGGCTAATTGGTATCGCAGTAATACGCTCAACATCCACAGCAGAAAAAAGCTCATTAAGCAACGGAATGTCCCAGGTAGAGGATGCTGGATCTATTAATCCAGAAACTTTAACTTCCCCTAAATGAGGAGGTTTCTCCGACACAACCCTCGGCTCCGAATCACCCAATAACCACGGATCACCCCAAACCAAAGTGGTAAACAGCCAATATGAGTGTTTTGTTAATCATATTTTTGTAACAGCTTATTGTTCGATTATGTTAAAATTCAAAAAGTTGTTCAAAACAGCTTTTCGACTAGATTTTAAAAAAAATAAATTATACCCTTAAAGGTCATTTGCATGTAATCAACTATCAACTAGCATCTAATTTACCAAACATCTTCTTAAACCTAGCTAATATAATCATCTAGTCAAACCCGCTAACTCAATCCTCTAACAACTATTTGTCAAACGCCCCCAATATAGGATATGTTTTTAAACATGATGTACTAATTGACACTTTGACATAGTTTTAGACCGGGATTCACCATGCAAGGTGAACATTGATGTAGGATATAATTTGCCATATTTTCTAATCATGAGATTTATACAGCTTTCTAAAAAATTAATTTGAATTATTTGCACTAATTTGGACTATTATATCACTAACATGTTTGGTCATTATTATTTTTTATCACATTTGGTGCACATTTTTTTTTTTTTTTTGCCACATTTATTCCTTAAAACTAAATCTACAATAGAAATTTATTGGAAATCATCATATTGTATGATTTTATTGGAAATTTATTGGAAATCATCTAGTACCATGCCAGCTTGATCGAACACCTCAGCTCGGTGCTTTTGGGTGTGAAAATGTATGATTTTGAATTAGAAGTCTAATGCATTCTGATTTATTTATTTTATTGATAGTTTGATCAAAAGGATTAAATTAAATGTGATGAAATGAAAGTTGTGTATCAAATGTGACAAAAATAATATTTAGAAACTAAATGTATATATCTAGAAGTAACTTAATAATTGTAGAAAGAAAAGTGAACATAATTCAATTAATTTTTGTGAGGTTCGAAGCCAAGAGTTTCTAACCCTAACCAAGATATAACGAGCCGGCTCAAACCAAACATCATTTGATCAAGATTTATCCAAAAGAGTGATGTTGCATTTGTAACAAGCAATCTGAAAATATTTGGTCCAACCTTTGCTTATAGAAATATGGAAAGAGAATCATTTCTTAGTTCATGCAGGGTGGGATGGGGTTTTATTGTTGGAGGGAATATATGGTTTGATGATGAATAATATCATAATCTCACAAAAATGATGAAAAATGTCACTGCCTTATAAATGTGGGATCTAAAGCTTGTGTGTCTCTTTTCTCTAACAAGCTCTTGGGGGAATCTCTTTACTAATTAAGCTACTCCTAATATCTTATACTTGTGGGTGCAATTTTTTTAAATTCCTTTTGAGATTTTCCCATATTCATGAAAGAAAAATGAAAAGAAGAGGGAGAAAAAAATATTATGAAACGTTATATATGTGCAATTCCACATGTTGTCGATTCCACTAATCATGAAATGTTTGTTCAATCCGCATGAGCAGCTCAGTTGGTTATAGGAGTGAAGTTTGGGAAGAATGATCAGCGATCGTGTCACACTAGCAGCAGCAGTGATGGGGACTCTTTAATTTGTACTTACTGAGCTCTGTCAAGTCGGGGTATGGAGGGCCCTTGAAATTGGGGATTCAACCTTTTGGGAAGAATGAAATGTATGTTCAATTCCTTTTAAGAAAAATAAAAATCTTAAGATCTTGAAATACTTATTTCCTACGTCTTCAAATTTAAAAATATGGACTACTATAAATTCAATGAAAATTTGAGAGTAGGGATGAGGTTCAAATCAAATCCATTTTTGATATATCAATATTTTCAAATCTTATATCTTATAGGTATTGAATTTGCAATTATGTTAAGAGAATTGTTAATCACCACATTAAAACTTATAAGAAAAAGGTCAAATAAGTCAATGACTGTTGGACCATCTAATTTTTAAAAAAGTGCAAGTAATTTCCTGAACAATCGAAACTTGTACAATCAAACCAAAACGATAGGTACTCTTAATAAAAATAATGATGGAGTGCCTTAAAATTAAAAATTTAATTGCTTTTTTAAAAAAAAATTAAAAAAATATTATACAAAAAGGTAGTGATGTGGCTACCTTGCTTGGCCTACTCATCTTTGACGGAAACCAAGAAATTTTCTTCATCTTTGGCAGGAGATGAAGAGCTTCTCTCTGTTGAATTGAATCACCAAATTGAATTTTTATGCGCAGTTGAGTAACTTATTTGATCAATTTTTTTTTTACTACTATAAAATGTATCTAAAAAATTTGACAAATTTTGCAGTGGACCATGAATAAAAGGTACATTTCTAATGTATATTATTTGGTATATTATACCAAATAATGTACCTTCAATATTCAAATAATGTACATTCAGAACACAAAATTATTATTTTTTCTTTTTTTTTTTTGTTCTTGCTTTAGAGCCATTGGTCATCCTAGATCAGTACCTTCAATATTCAAATAATGTACATTCAGAACACAAAATTAGTTTTTTTTTTTTTTTGCTTTAGAGCCATTGGTCATCCTAGATCAATAGTTAACGTTATACCAATTTTTTTTTTTTTAACAGGTGTTCTCATATATATGCTTTTAATTCTATATCTCAACAAGTTTCTTTAATTTAAATAGTTAAATTCTAAAATATATACCCCTAAGATTTTAATTATATTTTTAAAGAGTTAGAAAGGATTCCTAATTTTTTCCATGAAATACAATTACATATGAAATGATTTTTTGAAAAGTAAGAAACTACATACTATACCCTCTAGGAAGTTGATTTTAGTTAGTTTCTAAAAATAACACTTTGTTATACTTTAGGTTTTAAGTAACAAAACCTACAAAATCTCTATTCCTAAGGCATTGACTATTTACTATTTACCACCCTACCTCCCACCATCATCTCAACTGTTCTCTTCCACCCCTCACAAAACTCTCACTATAAAGTTGTCTCACAACTAACATACCGAAATTCCATCTCACTCCTCTTATATTCTCTCTCCCCATCTCTCTCTATCTCTCTCTCTCTCTCTCTCTCTCTCAATTTACAGAATAATGAAGCTCCACTCTCTCCCTCTTTGCCTCTTTCTTCTTTTCTTGTGCTTGCCTTCTCCATCTCCCATTGTAAGTGGCTATTTTTTATTTATTTATTAACGTCACTCAGTTATATACTCAATGTTCATAATTTATTTTTATATATTCGTATTTGTATATATCTATTTTCTTTTGTAAACATGGTAGATTTATCGCCCATTATCTGTATGCTCAATGTTTGTATATTGATTTTTAGTTTAATTTTGTTAATTATGTATATTCTTATCTAAATGCATCTATTTTGTTACTTTTGTAAACTGTATGGAATGAAACGGGTGGGATTGAACAGAAATCAAACCAAACATCGTATGCTTAGAGTTCAAGATTATATATTTATACGGCTATGGTATTTGTTTTTTTGTTATATACACTAGCATAAAACTCAGTCCTTTTCGACCTGATTCGAAAAAAGATTAGTCTGAATATAGTATAAGTATAAAAAGTATCTCTATATTTAGGGGTATTCACGACACCTAGTGGTGTAACAATTAAAAAAAAAAAACTGATTTTTTCATGTCATAATAATGTGCATTGCATGAATTAAAGTTTAAGAAACTGTGTTTCCAAAAAAAAAAAAAAGGTTTAAGAAACTGTTTTATGTATTTTATTTTTTTCTAAAGAAGAATCATGAGAGAATCGATGATTGGTATTTGGTAGTTAGTTCATGCATGGATGAATTGACGATCCTACTTATTATATCTAATCTAAAAATTCCGGTCAAGTTTTATGTTGTGCAATGAATTTTACATTATGTTTATTTTATATCTCTAAATATTTTTTTTTCTAATTTTATCCTTTTTTTTATATGAAAAATGCTACTTTATTTTTGCATATTTGATTAGTATAGACTTTTCTCTGATTCTACGTTATTATGGTGGCAATGGACGCAGGTCGCCGTCGGAGATAGCCCCTTCACGCCGAAGGCTTATCTGATTCGTTACTGGAATAACAAGATTTCTAATGATCTGCCCAGGCCGTGGTTTCTCATCAACATGGCGTCGCCGTTGACCGCCGCACAATATGCCGTTTTTTCCAAGATCGCGAAGGCGGATCGGAACTCCCTCGCCGCCCAATTGCCGGAATTTTGCTCCTCGGCGGACCTGCTCTGCTTCCCCGATTTATCCCCCAGCAGCCTTAGCAAGCACGACGACAACGTCAATTTCACCTCGTACGAGTTCCAGAATTTCACTAATTACGGGTCCCACAGCGCCGCCGGCGCCGACTCTTTCAAGAACTACACCGTCGACGTGAACCTCCCCGTCGACACGTTCAGGCGGTACAGCCGGGATTCCTCCGCCCACACTGATCGGTTCTCCAACTACGCCACCGGCGGCAACGTCGCCGACCAGAGCTTCCACACCTACGGCCCCGCCACGGCCGGCGGCGCCGGCGAGTTCGGGAACTATGCGAAGGACGTTAACGTGCCGAATCTAAGGTTCACTGCCTACTCCGACGACGCCGATGGTCGGAAACAGGAGTTCAAATCTTACTCGGAAAACGCTAACGTCGGCGATCAGAACTTCACGAGCTACGGCAAAAACGGCAATGGAGCCGCCACTGGGTTCACTAGCTACGGCAACAATTCCAACGTGATGGACACCGCGTTCAAAAACTACGGCGAGTCCGGTAATGGAGATGCCGATACCTTCACATCGTATGCCTTTAACGGAAACAACCCGGATAACACCTTCAAGAATTACGGCGCCGGAGGGAACGGCCCCGTCGACACGTTCAACAGTTACCGTCAGGAATCTAACGTCGGCGCCGATTCTTTCAACTCCTACGGCAAAAAATCGAACGCCGCCGATGTCGGTTTCGTGAACTACGGCAAAACGTTCAACGGAGGGACGGATAAATTCTCCGGCTATAGTGACAGCGACAGAGTTTCCTTCAATGGCTACGGCGTAAACAACACCTTCAAAGACTACGCCAAAACCGGCGTCACATTCGCCGGCTACCTGAACGCCACCGACGTAACCGCGGCGGTGGGGGCGGCCAAGGGCAAAATGGTAAATAACAAGAGGTGGGTGGAGCCCGGGAAGTTTTTCCGAGAGAAGATGTTGAAGAGTGGGACTATAATGCCTATGCCAGATATTCGGGATAAGATGCCGAAAAGGTCGTTTTTGCCCCGGAATATCGCGGCGGAGCTGCCATTCTCCGCCGCGGAGATCGGCGAACTGGAGAAAATTTTCCACGCCGTCGAGGGCTCCGCCATGGCTAAGATGATCGCCGGCACGTTGGCCGAGTGCGAGCGCGCACCGAGCAGAGACGAGACCAAGCGGTGCGTCACCTCCGTGGAGGACATGATCGACTTCGCCACCGCCGTGCTGGGCCGGAACGTGGTGGTTCGGACGACGGAAACCACCGTGGGGGCGAAACAAACCATCATGATCGGATCGGTCAAAGGAATCAACGGTGGAAAACTCACCAAATCAGTTTCGTGTCACCAAAGCCTTTTCCCATACTTAGTCTATTACTGCCACTCGGTCCCTAAAGTTCGGGTCTACGAAGCGGATATTTTGGACCCGAAAACCAAGGACAAGATCAACCACGGTGTTGCCATTTGTCATATCGACACGTCAGCTTGGGGTGCCACGCATGGTGCCTTCTTGGCACTTGGGTCGGGTCCGGGTAAGATTGAGGTGTGCCATTGGATCTTTGAGAATGACATGACATGGACGGTGGCAGATTAATCAAATATGCTTAATTATGTCAATAACTCATTTAAAGTACCATTTTAGGTAACATTTTATCATTTTATGTTGGAACATGAATGGTGCAGCCTTTGATTAATGACTTTTAATGGAAATGGTTTATTGAATAGTATTTCAGTGTCATACTAACTACTAAGTAATAGTGTTGATATAGAAAATTTTATGATGATTAAAATATCATGCTAAGTAATATTTATATTCTTCATTGATATTATTGATACATGCATCACATAGTATTCATTAATTACATATTTACATTACACCTTAACATTTTAAATTTTATTTAAGTTATACTAAAATGTTATTTATTTTCCATCCTCACATGATTTAGGATCAAAGGAATTGAAAATTCAGTGGAACAATTAGCTAATTAATAACAAAATACACTTGCAATATTACCAAAATTAAAGATATATACAAAAGAACATGATGTTTATAAAGAATAAAGTATTTTGAAATTGTAATATGCTTATGCAATTAATTGTATATTAAGGTTAAAAAGTGATATATATTGTGCTTTATGAGGTTTTAAAATAACAATTGTATAATACTTGTATAATGTCACACGAGTAACTTCAAAGTATCATTTGTTCTAGGAAATTCTAAATATTTTGATTGAACCTTTTAAACTTCTCTCTCTCAATAATACACAGTTTCGGCGATGGAGGAAGAGAAATAAAAATTATCAATTCATTACCATAGTCTTTCACACATTGGCACGAGTATATGCCATTTTATATTAGTGGTTATAAGTGTTGGTTCTGGGTAAGCAAATAATCTACGATAGTAGCGAAAATGCAACTTTATTCCCTTATACTTGCGTAGTAAAGCGTCATGTTTCAATGGTAAGATTTGCACATCATGTTTTCACTCAAATTCAAACCCGTGGCTTGATTTGGACAAGCTAAATATATCATATGACAAAAATGTGGATAATTTTATAAAATTTCCTCAATTTTGAACAAGTTATGCTTCAAAATAAAAAGGTCAATGGTGTAATATCGCTTCAACTTTTGTTTGATGGTGTGATGTATGTGGAGGAAATCATGTTTCGAGTGCATGTATATACGAGGTTCCTTACACTCAAACATGATGATCCCACAAGGGAATACTGGAATACATTTGGATGATACATGCCATATGATGATATAAATAGAAAAAATTTGACAATTATAATCCATCGATAACATTTAAAGGAGTACCTCCAAATTTTCATGAAACAACTAAATTTGTTCCAAAGTCATGGTTGCTACTTGCCATGCCCCAACACCTTCTATGGAGGAGCCTCCACAGTCCATTATGGAAGCAATAAGGGATTAACTATCAACTATCAAAGACACAATTTAATATTTAGTCGCTATTATATCTTTCAGAAGTTGATTTTTTTTTTTTCTGTGACGAGGAAAATCTGCATCTACTATTTGAAGGTGTGCAATGGGCAAATTTTATCTTGTGACTCTAATTGACAAAAAATCACAATTGAGGTAATCCAACTTAGATTGCCTATAACTCATCAATTCAAACTAAGAAGAAACCAAGTCAATAACATGACCAAAGTTGAATTCAGATTTTGTTTATTAATATTGAATATTAATGGATAAAAACCTCTATTGGATTAAAAAAAAAAATCTTTGAACTTTTAAAATAAATAAGTATATAAAAATAATTAAAAGTTTAAAGAGATCATATCATTTAAAATTTATTACTCCGTATAATTTATAAAAGTTTATCAATTTAAAAGTATGTAAACAAAATTTTTATTGATTACTCACCCTTAATTCACAAATTGAATGATCCAATTCTACAAGTAGGATTTCGTTGATCAAATTTTGAAAAATCAATCTAATTCTGGAAAATCAATCCAATTCTACACACGACTATTAACTTCGGGATATACTGTGCGACTGTGCTATACATTATATATAATAATTAATAAATCATTATTTCCTTAAACAATTACGTTATTACTAGAATATTACTAGATATTAATTACTTTTCATATAACAATTTCTTACCAATTAAGCTTTATTAATTCTTTTAATAATAAATTAAATAATTAATATTAAGAAAAGTTTGAGCAAAAAAAAGTTGAATAGGAGGATTTTATTTTTATTAATAGTATAGTATATATAGATATAGATTTTAAGAAATTATGGATACTATTACTATTAAAATATTTTACAAAGCCAAATCTACTATATTGTATCAAACAATCTTATATGTCTACTAATAATGCAAATGCTGACACAAAACAAAAAAAAAAACTAATAATGCAAATGCTATATATAAATTATTAAATGTTGAACTCCAATTCATCCTTATCAATACAAACATAGAGACATAAAAGACCAAAATATTAATTATTAAAAAAAAAAGGAAAATAGTCAAATAGACCCCTAGACATTATATATGAATTTTAATTTAAAATTGTAGTATGAATACAAAATTAAAAAATAATATATTTTATTAGGAATTATATTACATAGAAAAATGGTCAAATAGATCCTTAAACATTATATATGAATTTTTATTATAATATATGAATAGAAAAGTAAAATATAATATATTCTATTGGAAATAGTATTACATTATTTTATAATATTAGGCAAACCTATTTTGAGCATGATTTTGTTTTTTTATTAATAGTATACATAGTATATATATTAGAAGTATGTAAACAAAATTTTTATTGATTACTATCCCTTAATTGACAAATTGAATGATCCAATTCTACAAGTAGGGTTTCATTGATCAAATTTTGGAAAATCAATCACAATTAGCCTTAGACTATTAACTCCTGGATTTACTGTGCTGCTGTGTTATACATAATACATACACCGTACGGCCGCGGAAACCCCAAATTTAACACCAAACCCCAAATTCAACACCAAATTGTCACTGGGGTTTTCTTGTTAGCTTGCTCGCAATCTCTCTTTAATCATGGATCTCTTACGCTCGTATGCCGACGATGAAGAGCAGAAATCCGAAGAAAAACCGCAATCCTCCAACCAAAGCCCTAATTCCCAACAATTGGACAATTCGGGTCACTCCTCTCCAGATTCATCCCCGGTTCGGATGTCGCTCCCGTCCAAATCCGCCGCTCCGAAAGTCGACGACACCATGTTGTCCCTAACAGTCGCCGGCGGCGCAGCTCGGGCGCTTTCGAAGCCCCTCGATCCGACTCAACACACGGTCTCCTATAATCCCACTTATGACCAGCTCTGGGCGCCAATCTACGGCCCCGCGCACCCTTATGCGAAGGACGGCCTCGCGCAGGGCCTCCGCAATCACAAGCTGGGATTCGTTGAAAACGCCGCTATTGAGCCGTTCGTGTTCGACGAGCAGTATAATACGTTTCAGAAATACGGTTATGCATTTGACCCCTCGGCGAATCACTATGTAGGGGATATGGATGTTTTGAAGAAGAATGACGCGATTTCAGTGTATAATATACCGCAGCACGAGCAGAAGAAGAGGAAGCTCGAGAAGAAGAAGGAGATGATGGAGAATGAGCAGGGAGAGGGGGAGGAGGAGGATGTTGATATGACGGAAGTGGACAATCCGGCCACCGAGACGTGGTTGAGGAAGAATAGGAAGAGCCCTTGGTCTGGGAAGAAAGAGGGTTTGCAAGCTGAGCTTACTGATGAGCAGAAGAAGTATGCTGAAGAGTATGCCAAGAAGAAGGGCGAGGAGAAAGGTGAAAGAGAAAAGGGAGAGCCTTTGGTTGAGAAGAGCACTTTTCATGGTAAGGAAGAGAGGGATTATCAGGGTAGGTCATGGATTGCACCTCCTAAGGACGCCAAGCCACAGAATGATCATTGTTATATTCCAAAGAGATTAGTGCATACTTGGAGTGGCCACACGAAAGGAGTTTCCGCCATTAGGTTCTTCCCCAAGCATGGCCATTTGATTCTTTCTGCTGGAATGGATACGAAAGTGAAGATTTGGGATGTTTTCAATTCAGGCAAGTGCATGAGGACTTACATGGGGCACTCGAAGGCTGTGAGAGATATTTGGTTTAGCAATGATGGGACTAAATTTTTAACTGCTAGCTATGATAAAAATATCAAGTATTGGGATACAGAGACTGGAAAGGTGATATCTACATTTTCGACGGGGAAGGTACCTTATGTGGTGAGGCTTAATCCTGATGAGGATAAACAGAATGTGCTTTTGGCGGGTATGAGTGATAAGAAGATAGTACAGTGGGATATGAACTCTGGGCAGATTACTCAGGAGTATGATCAGCATCTTGGAGCAGTTAATACAATCACATTTGTGGATGATAATAGGAGGTTTGTAACTTCTAGTGATGATAAATCCCTCCGGGTATGGGAGTTTGGCATTCCTGTTGTTATAAAGTACATTAGTGAACCCCATATGCATTCTATGCCCTCCATTTCACCACATCCAAATGGGAACTGGCTTGCGGCCCAGAGTTTGGATAATCAAATCCTTATCTATAGTACCAGGGAGAGGTTCCAGCTGAACAAGAAGAAGAGATTTGCTGGACATATTGTAGCTGGGTATGCCTGTCAGGTTAATTTCTCACCTGATGGGCGGTTTGTCATGTCAGGAGATGGTGAAGGTAGATGCTGGTTTTGGGATTGGAAGAGTTGCAAAGTCTTTAGAACTCTTAAGTGTCATGATGGGGTATGCATTGGTGCTGCGTGGCATCCTTTGGAGCAAAGTAAAGTTGCTACCTGTGGCTGGGATGGCTTGATCAAATACTGGTAATATATCTCATCCCTTATACAATATTATATACTGCATAATACTGCTTTATATGACGATTACATCTTTATAATTTATATTGCTTTGTTGTGGCATTGGACAGTAGTTAGCAAACACTAAATGCATCAGGTAAACCAACTTAGGTTGTCCATAACTGATTGACTCAAATCAAGAAAGGTTGTCCATCTTAGAAGAATAGATGTCGCTTTAGACTCATATATGTGTCTAACTGTCTATGTGTAGTCCTGTCTAAGTGACTTAACTCCTTGATTTTTGCAGGGACTAAACAATGGGATGCGAAGCTTGTCGTTTGTTTTTATTAATCATCTCATTCACGGAAGAGCTTCATTAATCGATAAGTTCAGTTGGAATTTGTCAGTGTATTTTCAAATCTCATTTGGAGTAAGATATATCAGAAATCTGTATGAGCTCGAATGCTTCCTCGCAATTTACAGGTTCAAACACCTTCCATATGTGTGCATGCTAGAAGAAAAACATCAATCCTAACTTGGTGCCCTTGCTTGCATCCCCTTCTATCTCTACTTGATGATGATCAATTTTGCGCCATACAGAATTGTCTGATAGGCTGTCCAGGAAGTTGTTGAGTTGTATTATATTGCACTCTTTCCTGTATTATTGGCACTGGTCTGTTTTAATGAGTTGTAGGCTAAAATAGGATAGAACAAAGTGCAAAATTCACTTTGATCGACTGTAATTTGTTATAGCAATTTTTATTTGACTAGCGGATTCCCCTACATTTTGCCCATCTTGTATTTGGCGTGTGTTGGATTTGTAAGAATCTACAGAAGTGAGTGTAGTAATGAGAGTATGTGTGTAGAAAGATAGTTTTTTTTTTTCTTGTATATTTCTATTTTTTGTGAAATTTCAAAATCATGATTAATGGCCAAATTTCTGCAATACACCGAGTTTCAGTGCAGGGAAACAGAGTTCCTTCTGCAAATAGTTCATATATACATATATATAGATTTTGTAAATCAAATGTCAACATAAGTTGCACATATTCTGCTATGAAAACAAAACAGTATTTTATAAACTTTTAAGAACAAACATAGCAAATAACATTAGGGCAAAAACCATTTGAACGGACACAAACCTTACTTTCACTCTACCACCTTAAAGCAAAAATCCCCCCATCTAAGCTTATCTTCTCCATATTTTCCACCATATTCCTGCGAATGTAATGAACTCTGCTGGCTGAAACTTCGAGAAGAAGAAAGAAGAAAGTAAACAAGGGTCACTCTACTGTATGTTCCTCCTTAGCTCCATTTCCATTTCATCTTCCAATTAAGGGCCTATAAAATCCTGCCCGAAACAGAGCAAAACCCACTTCAGTTTTCTCCGTTGCTTATCGATTTTGGACAGTCAACAGCGACCTGCAAAATGGAAAATGGCGCCGCATCGCCGCCGTCTCCACCGCCGGTGCCTAAGGTAGTGGTGGCGGTGTTTTTATTAAAAGGAAATAAGGTACTGTTAGGGCGTTGCCTCTCTTCCGTCGGCTACAACAACATCGCCCTCCCCGGCGGACACCTAGAGTTCGGTCAGTTAATCCATTTTGAGATTTTGTCTCTTCGCCTGCAAATTCGATTAGTCAATTAGAGTTTCCGGCGAATGCAATGACCTCAATTGATAATTAGTTAGTAAACTAAAAGAAATCACTTTGATAATTAGTTAGGGTTTGACTTTTTTGAATCAATTTTCGGTTGAATTCACCGGAGGAGAAAGAAAAGAGATGCAAAAAGATTAAAATACTCTATTATTTTAACTATTAAAATCTTTTGATAAAATTTGACTTTTAATTTGATCGGAATGATTAAAATTGATAAAAATTAAATAATCAAACTACTAAATTAACATTTTTAAAAGTTGTGAACTGCAATTACAAGAGATCCTTATAAATATAATAAATAGGACCAAAATTGAAATTTCCCCGTTTTATATCTTCCCCGTTTTAAAACATAGCATTGCATTATAGAGGTGTCGTACCAATGTACCATTATTGAGTTCTTGTTGATAATACTTCCAGTTGCTTCTTCTGTGAAAGCTTACACACAAACAGATCTAGAGATCGAAGGATGGCTTGTGTAGCTGTAGCTTCTCTTCTAAGAACAATAGAGCTTGAGTTCTTGCAATATCACCCTCGTCCACTTGTACTGCACTATCATCTCATCTCTCCCAACAAACACTTGATCCAATCTTTCCACCAAAAGCTTGAATTTCTCATAACCCAATTCGATGACAACAGCATCCATGGTGTTGAAGCAGTTAAACGCTTGGTAACCAAGCTCAGGGATTTAGCTTTCAGAATGGAAGATGAAATCGAAATCCTAGTAGCACAGCTTTATGATGATGAATATTTAGACGGAGTAGCAGATCTCTTTGTGGAAGAGGAAGATGAACTCCGAGTAGAAGATCTGTACGTGGAAAAATCACTGAGGGACACAGATGCGGAGAAGACGACTCAGCCTTGTGTGAAACTTGGTCAAGTTTTTCAAATTGCAATGGAAGAAATTGAAGCCATCAAGGAAGAGTTGGTGAAAATCAAGGCAGAAGGAAGAAAGACAGCCCATGATGTTCTACAAAGGTCTCAACTTCTTTCCTCCCAGCACGCTTCACACTCCAAGGAAGAAATGGTCGGGAAAGAAGACGAGTTTGGAACAATCAAGAAGCTGCTAACTCAACTTGGATCTAAGGAAAAAAAAGTTGTATCACTTATAGGTATGGGAGGAATCGGTAAGACAACTTTGGCCAGGCAAGTTTATGAAGATCCATCAGTTTCTATCCACTTTGACGTGCGAGCCTGGGTTGTCGCATCACAGCTTCACAATAAGAGGCAAATGCTTGTAGGTCTTCTTGATTCAATTTCCAAACAAGGCAACCTAGAAAACTCCACTGATGAGGATCTTGCTTTAAAACTCTACCAATGTTTAAAGCGTCAAAGGTACATGGTTGTGGTTGATGATGTGTGGAGTGGTGAGGCATGGGATGATGTTAGCAATTGCTTTCCTGATGATGGAAATGGAAGTCGAGTATTGTTAACTACTCGCCTCGCAGATGTGGCAAAACATATTAGCCCCAAAAATGACTTTTCACATCATATGCGATTATTGGATCATACTGAGAGTTGGAAATTATTCTGTGAAAAGGCAGGTAAATCTCGTGGTGCTGAATTTGAGATAATCGGAAGGTCAATTGTTGAAAAATGTAAAAGATTGCCTCTAGCAATAGTTGTGGTTGCCGGACTGTTCTCCAAACTCAACACACTACACACTAAATGAGTGGGAAAATATTGGAAAAGCTCTAGATTCTTCTACAACAACAACTATTGCGACAACATGTTCAAAAATACTCTCATTGAGCTACAATCACTTGCCTCACCACTTAAAGGCATGTTTTTTATATTTAGGGGTTTTTCCAGAAGATAATGAGATCAATGCTAATGAACTTTCAAGGTTATGGTCTACAGAAGGACTTGTCAAGGCATCCGGGAATGAAAACTTTGATGTAGTGGCTGAAAGGTACATACAAGAACTTATGGATCGAAACCTAATTCTTGTGAGAAAGTGGAGTTGTTGTGGAAGAAGAATTAAAGTGCTTGGGGTGCATGATTTATTGCATGCGTTTTGTGTGAACGAAGCTCAAAAGGAGAACCTTCTGCATGTTGTTCGAGAAAATGGTTCAGATTTTCCTCAAAGATGCTTCCGTTGGCTAAGCATACAATCATCAAATTTTGATGTGTCTACACTATCTTATTCATCAAGAAGTTGTCGGTCCATCTTCTGTTTTCCAGAATGCACAAGCTTAAATTTGGAACAGTTCAAGCTATTGAGAGTGTTCTTCTTTATTAGCTGGGAGATGTACCACAATATTGTGGATCTCGTCCATTTGAGATATTTACCTCCAAGGCTGGAAGGTGAAAATATTATTGAACTGTTCAAGGCTTGGAATCTTCATACACTACATACTTCTGCAGATGATATGATAAACTATTTGGAGTTTCCACAACTGCAATATTTTAGTTGTGATTCTATTACGGGACATCCTCCCAAATTTGTTCATCAAAACTTGCAGAGTCTTTCTTGGTTGAAGCCTAAACATTGCACAAAAAAATTCTTTAGACGTGTCCCAAACGTAAAGAAGATACGGATTTGCGGTGAATTAAAAAAGTGCAATGATTGCATCAAGAACCTTGTCAGTTTACAGCAGCTGGAGAGATTGTATATTTGTGCTAATATACGGTCTTATAAGAGTCCAAACATGATCGAGATTAACAGCCAAATTGTTCTCTTGAAAAGCCTTAGGAGGCTACAACTTCGAAGAAATTGTTTTGAGTGGAATGGAATTAATGTTCTTTGCAAGTTGCCTAGGTTGGAGGTGCTCAAGGTAAGTCGTGCCTGTGTAGGCAAAGAGTGGGAGCTACCAGAGGATGACAAATTCTGCCAGTTAATTGTTTTGCAAATTGGTGGAACTGATCTCAAGGATTGGAAAGCCACTGGTGATCATTTCCCAAAACTCGAGCACCTCTCCCTTTTTTGGTGCGAGAAGTTGAAAGAGATCCCTAGCGGATTTGCAGAAATTTCAAGATTGAAATCTATCCAATTAAGGGGCTGCCTTCCTTCTGTGGTGGCTTCAGCCCAAGAAATCAAGGAAGAACAATTTGATTATTTGAATAATATTGTTGATGTGGATGTAGTTGTCGCGGAGCAACATGGCTACTCTCTGGTCTCTCTCCCTTTATTTTTCTTATTTAATTTCTCTCTAAACTCCACTCAGTTTCATCATCATTATCCTAAATTAGCTTCAATGATTCATGACAGGTGGTTTCGGAGTCTGAGTCTTATGAAGCTTAGTTTGAGGGATGAAATTGAGTTGTGCCAGAAGAGTAGTGAAGGAAGAAAGCTTGAGAAAAGAAGACTAGAAGAATAGAGAAAAATGGGTATGCATGTCTATCTATCATTGTGAATCATAAAATTTGACCTTGCAACATTGTACGAGTGAGAAAGTGTTCCATCACTCTAATTAATTCATTTGTACTACTTTAAAGCGAGTTAGACTTGTCCTTTAATTTGTTGTGCTTTTTGTTTTTAAAACATTGGTTTTTATTTCATTCATAAGGTCATGTGATATGTTTTTTGAAGTTCATTCAATGTTTATATTGGTGTAAAATTTGGCCTTTAATTTTGCAGTTCAGTTAAATGTTATTAGTATAAATAAAGATCAGTTACTGTTGGCGCTCCATTCTCGCTGGACAAGATACTCTACGGCGTGGTTGTTTTCGTAGGATTGGTAACGGAGCTACTACGAAGGTGTGGACGCAGCCATGGTTACCTAAAGATGAAGATCCCTACATTAGCACTGCCCTTCACACTCAGAATTCTGAAATGCTGGTTAGTGATTTAATCATCAGTGATACTCACGAATGGAATATTGATTTGTTATCCATTTTATTTGAAAGCCGGGACGTGGAACTCATAAAGAAAATTCCTATTGCATTTCATTTTGAGGACCAATGGTGTTGGAGGGGAGACTTACGTGGTGTATATTCTGTGAGTCAGAGATATCGTCTTTTAAGTGGTGAGTCGAACGGAGAAAGTCAATCTCGGGCTTGGCATGCAATATGGAAGTTGAAAATCCCTCCAAGTATACAAAACTTCATTTGGCGATGTCTGCATGGTACGCTGCCTACGTTATTTGCTTTGGCTGAAAGAAGAATTGAGGTGGATACATCTTGTCCACTTTGTCAGCAACTCCCTGAGTCCAGTAAGCATTTATTTTGTGATTGTGTACATGTATCCCATCTCTGGCAAAACCTCCCAAATTGTGTACCACCTTGTGCGAATGAAGAGTTTGGCAGTTGGTTGGCAGATCGCTTGGTGGCGGCAGATGGATCGGCTATGGTTGCATGTGCTGCTAGGCTATGGTGTATATGGCGTGCACGCAATGCCTTGGTATGGAATCAAAAAATGTGGCAGCCCCAGGCGGTATATTTGGAGGTGGAAAGGACAGTGCATGAATGGCAGCAATATGGTATGGCTAGAATTAATGAAATTGTTTCGTATCCCAGCAACGGCGAGAACTCCATTACTATTCCTACTGATTGTGTTGCGGTGTTCGTGGATGCCGCTGTCTTTCCCGATACTCAGCAAGCAAGTTTTGGTGTCGTCATTCAAGATAGCACGGGGAGCTACGTGGCAGCAAAAAATGGTCCTCTACAATGCCTCAATGATGCACACTTAGCAAGGCGGCCCTTGCTATCAAGGAAGCTCTATCATGGGTTATGGCCTGTGGCTACCATAAAGTGTCCATCAATACAGACTGTCAGGTGGTGTGTAATTTGCTAAATCATTCTTCTACGGATTTTACTTTTGCGGGATGTGTTATTAAGGATTGTTGCAATCTCAAACGACACTTCGATTCAGTGTCTATTCTCTTTGTTCCAAGATCAGTGAACAAGCTTGCTCATGTTCTGGCTAGGGCAGCTCGTTCTAGTACTGGTTCTTCTATTTGGTTGGATAGTGTTCCTTCTTGTATTGCTTCTATGATTTAATAAATTGTTGAATTTTCTTTTCAAAAAAAAATAAATAAATAAAGATCAGTTATTTTGGCCACAAATTTTGACTCTAATTCCCACCCAGAAAACACGCCATTGTTTAGTACAAGACTCTTGGAATGGATACATTAAATTATCATATTTATTTTATACTGCTGAATTAAATAGGGAAATTCTATTCACACCCCCCTTTTTACTATTTGCACCACCTATATAATAGGTCAAACCACTTTATAGGTGGTGCTAACTAAAAAATGCTATTTACACCCCATCATTTAATGTGGTCAAAAGTCTAATATTTATTTTATATTTATTTTTATTTTACAATCAAATTATTAATTTAAAAAAAAAAAAAAAAAAAAAAAAAAAACCCAAACTTGTCGTCACCTTCTCCGGTGAGAAGGCAACTGGGCTGCCTTCTCCGGTGAGAAGGCAACCCAGGTAGAAATCTGCCTGGGTCGCCTTCTCCGGCGAGAAGGCGACCCACTGGGCTGCCTTCTCACCGGAGAAGGCAGCCCAGTTGCCTTCTCCGGTGAGAAGGCAGTGCCTTCTCACCGGAGAAGGTGAGTATTTTTTTTTTTATTAATTAATTAAATTTTAAATTATCAAAGTATTAAATGCAAGTTTGACAAGGTGGTGCAAATAGCATTTTGACCACCCATTAGGCTATTTGCACCACCTATGTATTTATTGTAAGTTTTTAACTTTTTATATTTTCAATGCACTTTTTACCCCATTTTAGTCAAAGGGGGTGCAAATAGCAACACCCATTAAATATCAGTCTTTTCGAATTACGAAAGCTAATCTTTGGGAAACGATGTATTTTTATTAAACACATCATGTCCCTTGGTTATTTGATCGTTTGCAATAAATTCTGAAATTAATTACATTCACGATAGACTTCTAAATCATTGCTTATAAAAGGAGTTTAAGTTCAGATGTCCGTAACCAGGACTATGTGGTCTAATGGTACCCGGGTTGGACTTCCATTTGGAAGGTTGTGAGTTCGAGCCTCTGTAGAGGCGTTATTGGCTCTCTGTGTTTCAGTAGGTTGAGAAAGTATATAAACAGATATTACAATCTAATAGAGCTATGAGTTCGAGCCTCTGTAGAGGCGTTATTGGCTCTCTGTGTTTCAGTAGGTTGAGAAAGTATATAAACAGATACTACAATCTAAAATAACGCCAATGAAAACATCCCGTGCTTTGAAATCAGATTTATGAGATTTGCCAGTGAAATAACGCCAATGAAAACATCCCGTGCTTTGAGATTAGATTAGAGAACAGCGAGGAATTGAAGTGAGTCTGTAAAATGCTTGTTAGTTCTTTAACAAATTTTCAATTACATACTTCTATTCTTTGTACTATCAATGATTTTCTAGCTTATGCCAACTTGTCCAACAATGTCAGCATGCAATTGACATAAGCTAGAAAATCATTGATAAGTATACCAGATTACCAGAGGATAAAGATGGCACTTGATAATAATTATGTTTATCAAGACAATGACTCAATGAGATGGTACTTAGTAATGGCATAGTTGTGGAAATATCTAATGGAATTTCTACATCCTTGCATAGAGTACGTGTTGAATAACACATTGTGGAAGCTATTATATTGCTATGCAATCCAAAAGAATTGAAGCCTAATTGTGCATATTATCTTGGGAAGATGAATAATCTCCTATTGAGTATTGATGTGAGCCTAATTGTGCATATTTTTAGTATTAATTTGATTATATTTGTTAGCCTTGAGTTCATGATTTTGGTAATTTAATTGTATAATCCCTTGTTTTATCATTAAGATATGGAGTTTACACTTGATTTGAATGTTTTACGTTGTTTGTTAGTGTTTTGAAATCATTATAGGTTAAGTGCAAAAACAAGAGAAATTCTAGGACGAGTTTGTAGCCAAAACAAAGTCAATGTGAAACTAAGGAGGTGGCTAAAATGCCTGAAAGAGAGCCAAAGAGTGGTGCTTTCAATGGAATTGATCAAAAGAACCAAACAACGGAAAAGTGGAGCAAAAGAGCAAAGAGTTATAATTCCCGCTAAATTCGGCGACAACTTAGTATTTTGATCATATCTCATGCTAGGAATGTCCGATTCAGGTGATTCTTGCGCCATTGGAAAGAAGACTCGAAGGGCTACAATCTGGAATGCAGCGTTAAATTCGACGCGTCGAAACTTTCCAGTGAAGTTTCATCAGTAAAAGTTTTCGCACAGATCAGCGACAGTTTAGTTTTTGGACCATATCTCAGCCTAAGAATGTCCAAATGAGGTTATTCTTGCGCCATTGGAAAGAAGACTCCAAGGGCTACAACTCTTATCAATACATCGAAGTCCAAATCAGACGTGAAAACGGTCAAAACAAGCCTGAAAATCGGACGTATGTCATGTGCGAGAATTTAAGTTGCAGAAACTTCCTATTTTATCCCTATTGGGCTTCCACTATAAAAAGCACATCTTCCCTCAACCTCAGGGTGATTAATATTCTCCCCGGGTTTGATTCCAACTATAAAATCTCACATTCCTCAACCCTAAAAATTATTCAGAGATCTTTGGAGACAAGGAGGAGAGAAATCAAGAGCTACAAGTTATCTTTGGAATCAAGAAGAAGGCTAGGGAGATTTGAGAAAATTGTCTGGTTCAATCTTGTACTCTATTTAATTTTTTTTAATATATTTGCTATGTATAATTTAGTCATGCTTGGCTAAATTCAATTAGATGGAGGTGTCTAATTTTTTTAATACCTCCAAATTTTCATATTTTTATATGGAGGTGTCTGGCTGATTCTCCCAGTTAAAGCGTCGTCTTTCTTGGATCTCTATCTATATATATATCACTATACTCACCATTAATTTTACCTTGTTGTGCTAATGTTGTAGCTAGTACAATTAAGTTGTTAACTGAGGTGCCTAGCTAGAGTATGGTAGAAGTTGCAACTCAAGAAAGTAGAAAGTAGAAACTCGAAAATAGGAATTCAACGATCGCAACAGAAATTGGTCGGAATCTTCATCAAACAACAACAACAACATTGAATCAAAATTCGACTTGGGGAGATTCTCAAACTAAATTGGTTCATTATATCGAGGTAGGCAAGTTGTGCAGATTACGGAAGTCGGGTGGAGAAATTTGATAGAAAAGGAGAAGAAAGTTACCTTAATTGGAAAATTTGTGAATAAGATACCTCCTTTCAATGTGATTAGGGCAAAATTTAAGAAGGATTACCCTATCACTGGCTCGACACACATCAGATCGAGAAAAAGCACGTTTGGTTCTCGCGGTTCGCCTGCGTTGGAAATTGAATTAAGAAGACCTACAAGTATTTGCCTCTTAACAGAAATATATTTTTCTATTTTTATTTTTGTACAAATAAAATTAACATACCCCTTTCAAAACACAAATAACAGAAAGTTGGTTTGGTTCTCGAGAAAAAATTTGACTACCGGCGAAAAAATTCAGCGACCAGACGACTTGACCATTGCCGGTCGCCATCTACGGCGGAAGGTGACCTTTCTGGTCGCTTTCCCTGAGAAGGCGCCTTTTGCCGTAGATGGCAACCAGTCTGGGTCACGGTCGCCGAATTTTTTCGCCGGTAGTCGAATTTTTTACCGAAATAAAAATGACATGTAATCACATGTCATTTACATGTTCTTGGGCTTCATTGACTCAATTTGACATGTTTGAAGGTTTAATTGCACATTTTAAAAGTTTAGGTGCCTAATTGATTTTTGATATTAAATTTAGGGGTCTATTTGACCATTTCTCCCAGAAAATATCCACATTTTTTCTTCTTAATTTTTCAACTTATATTTATTTTCCTTTCTTTATTCTTTACAAATTAAAGAATCATAAATTCAGAGCCATAAAGAGGCAAGTAAATATGCATATTTATAGCGTAAATAACGAATATTTATGATGTTTACCTTGAAAATTAAATGTTAAATATTAATCATAGTTGTTAATCAAATTAAATGTTGAATATTAATCATAGTTGTTACATTAAAATTAGACATTACAGCTCATTAAATGACTATCTTACTATATATTAGATTTGTCACCAGACTAAATCCTAAGATACCATTTTTTTTTGTCATTCAATGAACGATTCCCAAAATAGGCGTGACAAGCAGCTTTATTGCTGAATTATGGGGACTCCGGGAGGGGCTAGTCATGGCCAAAAACTACGGGGTTCACTGCCTTCTTGCAGAATCAGATTCGGAGGCCTTGGTCAGTGCTTTACACAACGACTCAGGCTCCAGTCCGGAGGCTAACACTTTGATCTTAGACTGCAAATTCTTGATGGAAGGGTTTCACGTTTGCGAGCTCCGCCATGTTCTTCGAGAAGGGAATCAATGTGCGGACTTCCTAGCCAATCTGGGACATAGTAATTCTTGGGGGACGACCTTGTTGGATCTCCCTCCTAGTGGTTTGAGCACTCTGCTTGCTCGGGATGCCAATAGTGTTGCAACTAGAAGGCTCTCGTAATTTCTGGGGCTTCTAAGGCTCCTCTTTACCCACCAAAAAAAAAATGAACGATTCCCAACAACTACACCATTTTTTATCTTTCCAACAACAAGCTATGATGTTATCTTTGAATTAAAATATTTAAGTTGCAGAAAGCCACCAAAACATTTAACTTAAAAAAAAATAGCATTGCATTATAGAGGGTGTCTTGCCATTATTGAATTCCTGTTGATATTAATTAAATAGCTTCTTCTGTGAAAACTTACACAAAATCAAAGTAACTAAAAATTTTGCAAGATATTTAATAATACAACAGTCAACATGTCGCAGTTGACTGATGAATTTCACCCAGTGCAGTTCCTGTTGATATTAGTTCCACTTGCATCTTCATTTCTGTGAAACCTTACCCACAATAATCAATCAAAAAAGTTGCAGTTTCAGATCTAGAGATCGAAGAATGGCTTGTGTAGCTGTAGCTTCTCTTCTCAGAACAATAGAGCTTGAATTCTTGCAATATAAGCCTCGTCCACTTGCACTGCACTATCATCTCATCTCTCCCAACAAAGACTTGATCCAATCTTTCCACCAAAACCTTGGATTTCTCATAACCCAATTCGATCAGAAAAGAATCAATATGGATGGTGTTGAAGCAGTTAAACACTTGGAAACGAAGCTCAGGGATTTAGCGTTCAGAGTGGAAGATGAAATCGAATTCCTAGTAGCACACCTTTATGATGAAGAGGAAGATAAAGTCAAAATAGCAGATCTCGTTTTGAAAGAGGAAAAACCACAGAGGGACACAGAAGGGGAGAAGACTCAGCCTTATTGTGTGAAACTTCATCAAATTTTTCAAAGTGCAATGGAAGAAATTGAAGCCATCAAGGAAGAGTTGGTGAAAATCAAGAATATGGACGATGAAGGAAGAAAGACAGCCCATGATGTTCTACAAAGGTCTCAACTTCTTTCCTCCCAGCGTGCTTCACACTCCAAGGAACAAATGATCGGGAAAAAAGACGAGTTTGAGATAATCAAGAAGCTGCTAACTGAACTTGGACCTAAGGAAAAAAAAGTTGTATCAATTATAGGTATGGGAGGAATCGGTAAGACAACTTTAGCCAGACAAGTTTATAAAGATACATTAATTTCTAAACACTTTGACGTGCGAGCCTGGGTTGTCGCATCACAGCTTCACAATAAGAGGCAAATACTTGTAGGTCTTCTTAATTCAATTTCCAAACAAGGCAACCTAGAAAACTCTACTGATGATGATCTTGCTTTAAAACTCTACCAATGTTTAAAGCATCAAAGGTACATGGTTGTGGTTGATGATGTGTGGAGTCGTGAGGCATGGGATGATGTTAGCAATTGCTTTCCTGATGATGGAAATGGGAGTCGAGTATTGTTAACTACTCGTCTTGCAGTGGTGGCAAATTCTACTAGCTCCAACAATGACTATACTAGTTCAGACAATGACTTTTCTCATCATATGCAATTATTAGATCAAACTGATAGTTGGAATTTATTTTGTGTAAAGGCGGATAAATCTCGTGGTGCTGAATTTGAGATAATATGGAGGCCAATTGTTGAAAAATGTAAAGGATTGCCTCTAGCAATAATTGTAGTTGCCGGACTGTTCTCCAAACTCCACACACTAAATGATGGGGAGAATATTGCAAAAACTCTAGATTCTTCTACAACAACAACTATTGCGGCAACTTGTTCAAAAATACTCTCACTGAGCTACAATCACTTGCCTCACCATTTAAAGGCATGCTTTTTATATTTAGGGATTTTTCCAGAAGATAATATGATCAATGCTAATGAGCTTTCAAGGTTATGGTCTGCGGAAGGACTTGTAAATGCATCCGAGAATGAAAACTTTGATGTAGTGGCTGAAAGGTATATACAAGAACTTATGGATCGAAACCTAATTCTTGTGAGCAAGTGGAGTTGTTGTGGAAGAAAAATTAAAGTGTTTGGGGTGCATGATTTATTGCATGCCTTTTGTGTGAAAGAAGCTGAAAAGGAGAACCTTCTGCATGTTGTTCGAGAAAATGGTTCAGATTTCCCTCAAAGATACTTCCGTTGGGTAAGCATACAATCATCAAATTTTAATGTGTCTACACTATGCTATTCATCAAGAAGCTGTCGGTCCATCTTTTGTTTTTCAAAATGCATAAGATTAAATTTGGAACAGTTCAAGCTATTGAGAGTATTCTTCTTTGCTAGCTATTGGATGTACAAAGATATTGTGGCTCTCGTCCATTTGAGATATTTACCTCCTGCGCTTGCTGATCAGAATATTATGAAACTGTGCAATGCTTGGAATCTTCAAACACTATATATTTGTGCAGATGATAGGAACTATTTGGAGTTTCCACAACTGCAATATTTTTGTTGTTTACGTGTTACGGGACATCCTCCCAAATTTGTTCATCAAAACTTGCAAAGTCTTTCTTGGTTGGAGCCTAAACATTGCTCAAAAGAATTCTTTACACATGTTCCAAACGTAAAGAAGATACGGATTTCTGGTGAAAAAAGAGAGTGCAATGATTGCATTGAGAACCTTGTCAGTTTACAGCAGCTGGAGAGACTGTATATTCATGCTAATGAATGGCAAAAAATGAGTCCAAACATGATCCAGATTAACAGTCATATTGTTCTCTTGAAAAGCCTTAAGAGGTTAAAATTTCAAAACAATCGTTTTGAGTGGAATGGAATTAATGTTCTTTGCAAGTTGCCTAGATTGGAGGTGCTCAAGTTAAGAGCTGCATGTGTAGGCGAGGAGTGGGAGCTACTAGAGGATGACATATTCTGCGAGTTAATGGTTTTGGAAATTGGTCCAACTTATCTCAAGGATTGGAAAGCCACTAGTGATCATTTTCCAAAACTTGAGCACATTTCTCTTTTTTCATGCAAGAAATTGAAAGAGATCCCTAGCGGGTTTGCAGAAATTGAAAGATTGAAATCAATTCAATTAAGGGGCTGCCTTCCTTCTGTGGTGGCTTCAGCCGAGGAAATCAAAGAAGAACAACTTGATTATTTGAATAATATTGTGGATGTTGTTTGTGGCTGAGCAACGTGGCTACTCTGATCTCCGGTCTCTCCCCCTTTATCTTTCTTAATTACTGTCTCTCTAAACTCCACTCATGGAGTTTCATCATTATCCTAATTTAGTTTCAATGATTCATTACAGGTTTCTGAGCTGAGTCTGATGAAGCTTAGTTTGATGAAAATGAGTTTTTCCAGAAGAGCAGAAGGAGGAAAGCTTGAGAAAAATTTGTAGCTAAGCACGTTTATCATTGTGAATCATAAAATTTGACTTTGCAACATTGTACTGTGTATCTCTGAGTGAGAAAGCGTTGCATCACTTTGTGCTTTAAAGCAGTGTTGCAAAAATCGGCGCCTAGGCTCTCTAGGCATCGATTAATCGCTCTAGGCGCCCGCCTAGGCGCTCTAGGCAGTCCTCAGGCACCTAGCGATTTTTTCAACCTTGCTTTAAAGTGACTTAGACTTGTCGTCCTTTGTTGTGCTTTTTGTTTTAAAACGTTTGTTTCTATTTCATTCATAAGGTCGGAAATCATGTGATATGCTTGAAGTTTAATGTTTGGTGTAAAAAAATTGCCTTTTGCAGTTAAATATTTGCAGTTCAGTTAAAATGTTATTTAATTTGTCCTGTCAAGAGATGGTGAAGGTAGATACTGGTTTTAGGATTGGAAGAGTTGCAAAGTCTTTAGAACTCTTAAGTGTCATCCTTTGGACTACCTGAGGCTGGGATGGCTTCATCAAATACTGGTAATCAATCTCATCCCTTATACTATCTATTAATTTTATAATTGAATTTGGATTCTTAATTTTGAAATCTCTATGCTACTCAACTCTTTACCTGGGGAATAGTATCACACATCTTGTCATCAAAAACAAGGAAATAATTGTAGATTGAAGTGCTTCTATGTTTTAACTTTTGTTCTCAATTAGAGGCAGAGAAACAGAGTTGCAATTGCAGATGATAGGGGGAGGTTAGAATAGTGAAGAAGAAAAGAGAGAGGGAAGAGTGTTTATTCACTAAGTTTAGTCTTAATTTCTATTTTCTCGCTTTTATTTTTTGATGTAGTAAGAAATGATAAATTATCTTTATTCCATGGATCTTAAAGTAAAATGTAAAAATTAAAATTTTGAGTGAGAGAGTAAAAGTAGGGAGTAAACCTTTGGAGTTTGAGTAGTATTTTTCTTATCTATTTGTTCATACAAACAAATACAAGTCCAATAGTTGGGAATATGTGATTCTTTTATTAATTAGGTCGGTAAATGATAAATATGTTGATTTGCGCGATTACCGAGTGCTCTCTATTGATAATGAGACCGGGGGGCCTACTAATAACGTGACCATGAGGTCTACTAATAACAAGACTGGGAGGTAGACATATATTTTCAAGGTAAGGAAATATACTCATGAAGATGAATGCGATAATTTCCAATCAATAGCAACGGAAAGTGTCCAAAGTTGAATTCAGATTTTGATTATTGATATTGAATATTGATGGATAGAAACCTCTATTTGATTTTTTAAAAAAAAATTCTTTAAACTTTTAAAATAAATAAGTATATAAAAATAATTAAAAGTTTAAAGAGATCATATCATTTAAAATTTATTACTCCGTATAATTTATAAAAGTTTATCAATTTAAAAGTATGTAAACAAAATTTTTATTGATTACTCACCCTTAATTCACAAATTGAATGATCCAATTCTACAAGTAGGATTTCGTTGATCAAATTTTGAAAAATCAATCTAATTTTGAAAAATCAATCCAATTCGACACACGACTATTAACTCCGGGATATATTGTGCGACTGTGCTATACATTATACATAATAATTAATAAATCATTATTTTCTTAAACAATTACGTTATTATGCAGAATTTGTAAAGAATATTACTAGATATTAGTTAGTTTCCATATAACAATTTCTTACCAATTAAGCTTTATTAATTCTTTTACTAATAAATTAAATAATTAATATTAAGAAAAGATTGAGCAAAAAAAAAAAAAGTTGAATAGGAGGATTTTATTTTTATTCTTCCAAAGTTTCACCTCTAACCAGTTGAATATGAGGATTTTATTTTTATTAATAGTATAGTATATAGATATAGATTCTAAGAAATTATGGATACTATATTACTATTAAAATATTTTACAAAGCCAAATCTACTATATTATATCAAACAATCTTATATGTCTACTAATAATGCAAATGTTATATATAAGTTATTAAATGTTGAACTTCAATTCATCATTAAATGTCGAGGAAGTTGTTGAGTTGTATTATATTGCACTCTTTCCTGTATTATTGGCACTGGTCTGTAACGATGACTTGTAGGCTAAAATAGGATAGAACAAAGTGCAAAATTCACTTTGATCGACTGTAATTTGTTATAGCAATTTTTATTTGACTAGCGGATTCACCTACATTTCGCACGTTTCGTATCTGGCTTGTGTTGGATTTGAATTGCTATGTCAGATTGTGTGATGTGGCATTGTTATGTCATATTTTGTAATATAATTATACTGTTTTATGTTGCTATCACATAATCTGACATGGCAATTTGAATGCAACATGGACAAACTTCACGTAAAAAATTAACGGTGTTAAGTATTGTCCTTAATTGTTCTAAATCTTAAAGTATAGAGACTAAATTGAACAAAACGCTACAGAGACCTAGCAAGTACTTTGTTCACCAAATAGTTATCAACTAATTTATCAAACACCTTTCTACAATCAACTAATATTATCAATTAATTATTCTTTTAATTAATCTAATCAGCTAAAAGCTAACCGTATTTTTCATATTTTATCGGACAATTAATGATTACCTGACAATTGCAGTTTTTTTTTTTTTTTTTTAAATCTTCCCAACAACATTGGATTCCCGACAACTACATGTCTACATGCTAGAATATTATCTTTGAATTAAAGTATTTAATAATACAACAGTCAACAAGTTGCAGAAAGCCACCAAACGTTATCTTAAAAAATATCATTGCATCTTCAATTCTGTGAAACCTTACCCACAATAATCAATCAAAAAAGTTTCAGTTGCAGTTGCATTTATATCACACACAAACAGATCTAGAGAGGATGGCTTGTGTAGCTGTAGCTTCTCTTCTGAGAACAATAGAGCTTGAGTTCTTACAATATCACCCTCGTCCACTTGTACAGTACAATCATCTCATCCCTTTCAACAAAGAATTGATCCAATCTTTCCACCAAAAGCTTGGATTTCTCATAAGTCAGCACGATGAGGAAAGAATCGATGGTGTTGAAGCAGTTAAACGCTTGGAAACCAAGCTCAGGGATTTAGCTTACAGAGTGGAAGATGAAATCGAAATCCTAGTAGCACACCTTTATCATGAAGATGAGGGATTTAGCAGATTTCGTTTTGAAAAAGGAAAAACCACAGAGGGACACAGAAGGGGACGAGGCTGAGCCTTATTGTGTGAAACTTCATCAAGTTTTTCAAAGTGCAATGGAAGAAATTGAAGCCATCAAGGAAGAGTTGGTGAAAATCAAGAATATAGACGAGGCAGAAGGAAGAAAGACAGCCCATGATGTTCTACAAAGGTTTCAAGTTCTTTCCATCCAGCATGCTTCACACTCCAAAGAAGAAATGGTCGGAAAAAAAGATGAGTTTGAGATAATCAAGAAGCTGCTAACTGGACATGGATCTAAGGAAAAAAAGGTTATAGCAATTACAGGTATGGGAGGAATCGGTAAGACAACTTTGGCTAGACAAGTCTATGAAGATTCAACAATTTCTACCCACTTTGATGTGCGAGCGTGGATTGTTGCGTCACAGATTCACAATAAGAGGCAAATGATAGTAGGTCTTCTTAAGTCAATTTCCAATCAAGGCAACCTAGAAAACTCCATTGATGAGGATCTTGCTTTAAAACTCTACCAATGTTTAAAGCGCCAAAGGTACATGGTTGTGGTTGATGATGTATGGAGTAGTGAGGCATGGGATGATGTTAGCAATTGCTTTCCTGATGATGGAAATGGGAGTCGAGTATTGTTAACTACTCGCCTTGCAGAGGTGGCAAATTATACTAGTTCCGACAATGACTTTTCTCATCACATGCAATTATTGGATCAAACTGATAGTTGGAATTTATTTTGTGAAAAGGCAAGTAAATCTCGTGGTGCTGAATTTGAGATAATCGGGAAGCCAATTGTTGAAAAGTGCAAAGGTTTGCCTCTTGCAATAATTGTTGTTGCCGGACTATTCTCCAAACTCAATAGACAAAATGAGTGGGAGAATATTGCAAAAGCTCTAGATTCTTCAACAACAACAACTATTGCGGCAACATGTTCAAAAATGCTCTCACTGAGCTACAATCACTTGCCTCACCATTTAAAGGCATGCTTTTTATATTTAGGGATTTTTCCAGAAGATAATGAGATCAATGCTAATGAGCTTTCAAGGTTATGGTCTGCGGAAGGACTTGTAAAGGCAACCGAGAATGAAAACTTTGATGTTGTGGCTGAAAGGTACATACAAGAACTTATGGATCGAAACCTAATTCTTGTGAGCAAGTGGAGTTGTTGTGGAAGAAAAATTAAAGCGTTTGGAGTGCATGATTTATTGCTTGCATTTTGTGTAAAAGAAGCTCAAAAGGAGAACCTTTTGCATGTTGTTCGAGAAAATGGTTCAGATTTTCTTCAAAGATGCTTCCGTTGGGTAAGCATACAATCACCATATTTTGATGTGTCTACACTATCTTATTCATCAAGAAGTCGGTCTATCTTCTGTTTTTCAGAATGCACAAACTTAAATTTGAAACAGTTCAAGCTATTGAGAGTGTTCTTCTTTATAGATATTCTGATGTACACAAATATTATTATTGTGGATCTCGTCCATTTGAGATATTTACCTCGAAAGCTTTATAATCAAAATATTATGAAACTGTTCAAGGCTTGGAATCTTCAAACACTACATATTTTTGAAGATGATCGGAACTATTTAGAGTTTCCACAACTGCAATATTTTCGTTGTCATTTATCTGTTATGGGACATCCTCCCAAATTTGTTCATCAAAACTTGCAGAGTCTTTCTTGGTTGGAGACTAAACATTGCACAAAAGAATTCTTTACACATGTTCCAAATGTAAAGAAGATACGGATTGGCGGTGAAATAACAGAGTGCAATGATTGTATCGAGAACCTCGTCAATTTACAGCAGCTGGAGAGACTTTATATTCATGCTGAATATCATGAATGGCATTCTACTAGTCCAAACATGATCCAGATTAACAGCCATATTTTTCTCTTGAAAAGCCTTAAGAGGTTAGAATTGCGAAGAAATTGTTTTGAGTGGAATGGAATTAATGTTCTTTGCAAGTTGCCTAGGTTGGAGGTGCTAAAGTTAAGAGCTGCATGTGTAGGCGAACAGTGGGAGCTTCCAGATGATGACAAATTCTGCCAGTTAATTGTTTTGATAATTGATAGAACTGATCTCGAGGATTGGAAAGCCACTCGTTATCATTTCCCAAAACTTGAGCACCTCTCCCTTTTTTCATGCGAGAAGTTGAAAGAGATACCTAGCGGGTTTGCAGAAATTTCAAGATTGAAATCAATCCAATTAAGGAGCTGCCGTCCTTCTGTGGTGGCTTCAGCCCAGGAAATCAAGGAAGAACAACTTGATTATTTGAATAATATTGTGGATGTGGTTGTGGCGGAGCAACATGGCTACTCTTGGGTCTCTCTCCCTTTATCTTTCTTAATTACTTTCTCTCTAAACTTCATTCACTTTCATCATTATATCCTAATTTAGTTTCAACGATTTATGACAGGTTTCTGAGCCTGAGTCTAATGAAGACGTGCCGTTTTTGGAAGAACTGGAAAATGAGCGTCTCCAGGAAATCTATAGAGAAATTGGTAGCTCTGAGTGAGAAAACCGTGCATCACTTTGTGCTTTAAAGTGACTTAGACTTGTCCTTTGTTGTGGTTTTTGTTTTAAAACGTTTGTTTCTATTTCATTCATACTAGAAGTTTAATGTTTATATTAGTGTAAAAATTTTGGCTTTTGCAGTTGAGTTAAATGTTATTTAATTTGTTGAAGAATACTTGAGGTGTTGAGTTTGAAACTTCTACTCATTTCTGACTTTTAGATGAAAAAACAGCAATTCTAACTTGGTGCCCTTGTATCCCCTTCTTTCTGTACTTGATCAATTTTGCGCCATACAGAATTGGTCTGATAGACACTCTTTCCTGTATTATTGGCACTCTATAGCTTGGATGACAATGAGTTGTAGGCTTAAATAGGATAGAATTGTTGGGTAAAAAGGTGAAAAAAATCTCAAAATAATAATAATTCTACAGAAAGATTAATATTATATTGGGAAAACAGAAAACTGGGAAGGAAAAGGTTGAGTGTTTGGGTATAGGGTTTAACACGAGTTCGAACACAAGGTTCTTTTCCTTAAAACCTTATTTGCTACCTCCCACAAGTGCTAGGAGCGTTGTAGCCTAGGTTTCCCAGGATAAAACGTGCTACGATTCCTTGTTTAAGCACCTAAACAAGGAACCCTTCGAACAAAGCAAGACTTAGAACACCGGTTGGCTAAAGAAGAGAGTAGAAGCAGAGTTTTGAGATGAAAAACTACTGAAATTCTTTTTGTTTCTCACTGTGTAAAATGCTACTGCTCTACCTCTCTTTATATAGGGATGTTGGAGTGATAGCATTCAACATGGGCATTAAATTGGTGTTAAAACCAATTGTGTAGCACCTGTAACGGTCACCACTAAGTAGGATTAAACTCAGAGTTTAAAATTAGAATTAAAACAGTATTAATTCCGTAACAGATGAGTTTAATCTTCTGCACTTTCGGGTTTCTGACCGTTGGGTGTACTCTCGTGCTGTGGTGCACGAGAGTACCCACTCTCGTGTTGTATCTACAACACGAAAGTACAGCTCTCGTGCTGTGGTGCAATACGAGAGTACACCTCTCGTATTCACCGTTGCACGAGAGTTTTGCTCTCGGTGCACCACAACCTCTCATGCAACACACGAGAGTAGGTGCTCCTCTCATGCTACACACGAGAGTAGGTGCTCTCGGTTCGGTTTTGACCGAACCAAGTGACTATAACAGATGGAAAATGATACCGAAGTTTGGCATAACTTAGCCTGCTCTCATGTTGTGATACAACACAGCTCTCGTGCTGTGGTGCAATACAAGAGTACACCTCTCGTATTCACCGTTGCAATACAATTCTACAAGCTTGAAAAGAGCTCATGTATATAAGGGGGGCAAATCTTGTTTCCAAACTAATGTGGGACAAAGTCCTACATTTTCCCTTCATTTCCCAACTCAAATGGGTCTACTTTGAGAATCAATATCTCATTCACCCATTATCCGTTTTGAACATACAATATATCAATCTCTTCATCTTACTACGAAGAACACGAATCCATATTGACCCGACCCATTCAGGAAGTGGACCCCACTGATAATTGTACCACAAAGTAGCCACTTAATATGCCATTTTATGCCATTTTAAGCTAATTTTTCCAACAAGAACAAAGTGCAAAATTATATTCACTTTGATTGTCTGTAATTTGTTATAACAATTTTTATAATACAATAATATTTATGATAGACGACAAGATAGTTAAGGGCGGAGCCAAAGCTCTACTTGAGTAGGGTTAAATTTTAAAACACTTTGAAATGCTATAAAATATATGAAACATAATTGATAATTGATTAGATAACATAGTTTGAATAGAAAAGATAGTATATTCCTAAATACTTTAATTTTAATTTTCTTTTAGTTATATCAACTTTTAATTTTTCTAAATTAATTCGAATACAATGGAGTACAATATAAACTTACGGACTACATTAACTAAATGATTCACAGAAAAAGTAGACTTAAAAACAAACTACTGGGAATTGATCCCATGACCTACCATAGACCATCCAAAGTTTCTACCAACTAGGCTACAAAAACCTTTAGTAAAATTTATATTTATATTTTATAAAACCCTTAAATTAGGGAGGGGTAGCAACTACCCCACTACCCCCATTCTAGGTCCGCCATTGCTGGCGTGTGTTGGATTTGTAAGAATCTACAGGAGTGAGTGTAGTAATGAGAGTATGTATGCAGAAAGATTTTTCTTTCTTTTTGTATATTTCTATTTTTTTTTTTAAATTTCAAAATCTTGATTAATGGCCAAATTTCTGTAATGCACTGAGTTCCATTGCAGAGAAACAGAGTTCCTTCTGCAAATAGCTCATATATACATATACAGATTTTGAAAACAAAACAGTATTTATATAATATTAAACCAAATGGTATCATTTCTTTTAATACCAAAATACTAAAATTGAAACTGAAAGAAACGAGCCGAATCCCAAAATGTCCAACTCTAAAAGAAACGGTTAATTTCTTATAACTAAAATTAAAATTCTAAATAAATTAAAAAAAATCTTTCAACAACTCACTTTTTTGTTATAAATATCTCATTCATTATGGACATTATTGTTGATTTGTAACATATGTAACAGTTATGTCATTTAGTATAATACTTAATGATTGTACATGTATATATATTCAGAAATAACAGAATAAGAGGTCTCTTTGGCTTATTGTGTTCTTCATCTCTTCTCTATCTTCTTTATCTAAATTCTCATTGGTCAATATGTTGGAGCAATTTATTAGTCTTTGATTTGAGTCGATCAATTATGCAACATAGATGATTTACCTTTTTATGATCCTATAATTAAAAGGGTGAGATTTATTCTATGCATACTCGCAGATAATTGTTGTGAGTTTCTCTTATTATTTAAAAATATTAAAAATTTATTTATTAAATACTGCACATTTTTCTTAATAACAATTAAATATTTGTTAAGTGACTACTGACTAAACAACTATTTATGGAATTTGAGTATTTGACACCATACCTAATCCGAAGCTATCTAACATTTTTTTTTGTCATTCAATGAATGATTCCCCGACAACTATACCTTTTTCTTTTTATCTTCCCAACTAGCTATGGTGTTATCTTTCACTTAAAAAAATAGCATTGCATTATAGAGGTGTCTTACCATTATTGAATTCCTGTTGATATTAGTTCCACTTGCTTCAATTCTTCTGTGAAAGCTTACACACAATCAAAGTAACTAACAAAAAATTTCAGATCTAGAGATCCAAGCTAGGATGGCTTGTGTAGCTGTAGCTTCTCTTCTCAGAACAATAGAGCTTGAGTTCATGCAATATCAACCTCGTCCACTTGTACTGCACTATCATCTCATCTCTCCCAACAAAGACTTGATCCAATCTTTCCACCAAAAGCTTGGATTTCTCATAACCCAATTTGATGACAACAGAATCGATATGGATGGTGTTGAAGCAGTTAAACACTTGGAAACCAAGCTCAGGGATTTAGCGTTCAGCGTGGAAGATAAAATCGAATTCCTAGTAGCACATCTTTATGATGAAGAGGTCGATGATGAATATTTAGATGGAATAGCAGATCTCTTTGTGGAAGAGGAAGATGAACTCCGAGTAGAAGATCTGTATGTGGAAAAACCACAGAGGGACACAGATGCGGAGAAGACTCAGCCTTGTGTGAAACTTGGTCAAGTTTTTCAAACTGCAATGGAAGAAATTGAAGTCATCAAGGAAGAGTTGGTAAAAATCAAGACAGAAGGAAGAAAGACAGCCCATGATGTTCTACAAAGGTCTCAAGTTATTTCCTCCCAGCATGCTTCACACTCCAAGGAAGAAATGGTCGGGAAAAAAGACGAGTTTGAGATAATCAAGAAGCTGCTAATTGAACTTGGATCTAAGGAAAAAAAAGTTGTACCAATTATAGGTATGGGAGGAATCGGTAAGACAACTTTAGCCAGACAAGTTTATGAAGATGCATCAGTTTCTATCCACTTTGACGTGCGAGGCTGGGTTGTTGCATCACAGCTTCACAATAAGAGGCAAATGCTTGTAAGTCTTCTTAATTCAATTTCCAAACAAGGCAACCTAGAAAACTCCACTGATGAGGATGTTGCTTTAAAACTCTACCAATGTTTAAAGCGTCAAAGGTACATGGTTGTGGTTGATGATGTGTGGAGTGGTGAGGCATGGGATGATGTTAGCAATTGCTTTCCTGATGATGGAAATGGGAGTCGAGTATTGTTAACTACTCGCCACGCAGTTGTGGCAAATTATACTAGCTTTGACAATGACTTTTCTCATCATATGCAATTATTGGATCAAACTGATAGTTGGAATTTATTTTGTGAAAAGGCAGGCATATCTAGTGGTGCTGAATTTGAGATAATCGGGAGGCCAATTGTTGAAAAATGCAAAGGATTGCCTCTTGCAATAACTGTGGTTGCCGGGCTGTTCTCCAAACTCAACACACTAAATGAGTGGGAGAGTATTGCAAAAGCTCTAGATTCTTCTACAACAACAACTATTGCGGCAACATGTTCAAAAATACTTTCTCTGAGCTACCATCACTTGCCTCACCACTTAAAGGCATGCTTTTTATATTTAGGGATTTTTCCAGAAGATAGGGAGATCAAAGCTAATGAGCTTTCAAGGTTATGGTCTGCGGAAGGACTTGTAAAGGCATCCAAGAATGAAAACTTTGATGTAGTGGCTAAAAGGTATATTCAAGAACTTATGGATTGAAACCTAATTCTTGTGAGCAAGTGGAGTTGTTGTGGAAGAAAAATCAAAGTGTTTGGGATGCATGATTTATTGCATGCCTTTTGTGTGAAAGAAGCTCAAAAGGAGAACCTTCTGCATGTTATTGGAGAAAGTGGTTCAGATTTTCCTCAAAGATGCTTCCGTTGGGTAAGCATACAATCATCAAATTTTGATGCGTCTACACTATCTTATTCATCAAGAAGCTGTCGGTCCATCTTCTGTTTTTCAGAATGCAGAAGCTTAAATATGAAACAGTTCAAGCTATTGAGAGTGTTCTTCTTTTTTGGCTATTTGAGGTACACACATATTGTGGATCTCGTCCATTTGAGATATTTACCTCTAGCGCTCCGTAGGCAAATTATTACGAAACTGTTCAAGGCTTGGAATCTTCAAACACTATATATTTGTGCAGATGATAGGAACTATTTGGAGTTCCCACAACTGCAATATTTTTATTGTTTGTTTATTATGGGACATCCTCCCAAATTTGTTCATCAAAACTTGCAGAGTCTTTCTTTGTTGGAGCCTAAACATTGCACAAAAGAATTCTTTACACATGTTCCAAACGTAAAGAAGGTACGGATTGCCGGTAAATTAAGAGAGTGCAATGATTGCATCGAGAACCTTGTCAGTTTACAGCAGCTGGAAAGACTGCGTATTGATGTTAATTCATGGAGTATTACGGATCCATACATGATCCAGATTAACAACGATATTGTTTTATTGAAAAGCCTTAAGAAGTTAATATTTTACGGTAATCGTTTTGAGTGGAATGGAATTAATGTTCTTTGCAAGTTGCCTAGGTTGGAGGTGCTCAAGTTATATAATGATGCCTGTGTAGGCGATCAGTGGGAGCTACTAGAGGATGACAAATTCTGCCAGTTAATTGTTTTGAAAATTGAAAAAACTGATCTCAAGGATTGGAAAGCCACTGGTGATAATTTCCCAAAACTCGAGCACCTCTCCCTTTTTCGGTGCATGAATTTGAAAAAGATTCCCAGCAAGTTTGCAGAAATTTCAAGATTGAAATCAATCCAATTAAGGGGCTGCCTTCCTTCTCTGGCGGCTTCAGCGCAGGAAATCAAGGAAGAACAACTTGATTATTTGAATAATATTGTGGATGTGGTTGTGACGGAGCAACGTGGCTACTAGCTTTCCGGTCTCTCTCCCGGCCTTTATTATCATTCTTAATTACTTACTTTTCTTTCTAAACTCCATTCATTTTCATCATTATCCTAATTTAGTTTCAACCATTCATGACAGGTTTCTGAGACTGAGTATGATGAAGCTTAGTTTGATGGATGAAATTGACTTGTGCCAGAAGAGTAGGAGGAAAGCTTGAGAAAAATGAGTATGCATGTCTATCTATCATTGTGAATCATAAAATTTGACCTTGCAACATTGTATTGTGTAGGTCTGAGTGAGAAAGCTTGCATCACTTTTCTAATTAATTCATTTGTGCTACTTTAAAGCGAGTTAGACTCGTCCTTTAATTTGTTGTGCTTTTTGCTTTAAAAACGTTTGTTTCTATTTCATTCATAAGGTCATGTGATATGCTTGAAGTTCATTCAAGTAAAAATTTGGGCTTTTGCAGTATCTATGTTTGATGCATATAGAGATATGTTAGTTATTGGATTTGAATCTGATCAGTAAACAATAAGATTCATTGAACCTGTATGTGCACTGCCATAGTTTGGTGAGTGTACGTACAAACTTCAATTCATAGTAGTTGGAACCTTCAAACATCTACACCGCGCTTCTAAGTTCTAAGACAAATGTCTATTTTACAGTAAACTATGATACATTCTTAGCTTTCTCAACACTCGGAAGGCAAATCATCTAGCTATTTCGTTGTCTGAAGAGTCTATATTTATCTGAATAATTCTATAGATAAGTTGTAGTATCTGGTCAGTATTTTCTATTTCTATTCCCAATTCTTGACAAAGTTCATTGACTTTTTGAATGCTGCGTTGTTGACTTTATTATATTGTAGTATCTATTCAAACATTTCGCCGGCTTGATCATTGGGGGTTCATAGGAGAGGTCACTACATGTCATCTGAGCACAAGGTGTTTGGCACAAAATTCATTCACTTAATTTGATTTTATTTGGACAATTAGGAGCAATATGTCCTTTTTGTTTACAAATAAAACATGTAACTTCTTGTTATTATTTCCTCCTTTTCCCTTTTTCACCCATTTTGGAAAAGAAGTTTGTTTTTTATCTGAGAAATGTATTTTTTATTTTGGTTTCTATCTGGTTTATTATAATTCCTATAATTTCTCTTATATTATTTTTTGGTGATAGTTTTATTAAAGAATAAGAGTCAAATAGGCTATTCAATTGCATACAATAATGCAATTAGGTCACTGAACTTTAAAAAAAAAAAAAAAAAACTACAATTGAATCTCTAAATTAACCAATTTCATGCAATTAGTTCAATTTGTACATCTTTTCTCAATTGTTTCTCAATTCAACTACTTGTTTTTTGTTGCTTACTTGATCACACATGTGTTCCTTCTATATCTTTGGGTTAACTTCTGAACACTCAATACTTTTGTGTTTAATCCCTCTCCACTATATTCCATTTTGGTACACTTTTTGAGAATGATAACTCTTACTTTAATTTTCACCACCACTAAAAACCAACATTTGAGTACATATATGATATAATTTTTCAATTCTCAAGGAGGAGATCAATTTGCACAAAGAAAATGAAATTAAACTTTCACTAAACAATATTATTCTCTACCCTCTTTACATAAAGAAATATAATTTTTGAAGACAGTGAAACCCCAACTACTACCGACTAAATTAACTATTCTAGAATTGTGTTAGTAACATTAAGTTGCTTTGCTGTTCGTCTCCATTTCTAACAACCATTTTGAAAAATATTACAGCTACTTGTTACATTAAACCATAGCATATAATAATAGGGTAACAACCATTTTGATTATTATACGAGCCACTAGCTAATTACTCTATTTCACACGCCTAGCCGACAAGATTGCTTGAATAATTTAACCAAGGATCGACTATCTGCATGCATCTTTATAATATTCTCTCAATTTTATCAGAACATTCACATTTGATCTTAATATTATTGTGACATGTATATTTTTAGTCCTCGTCCACAAAATCGTTGAAATATCGTTAAATACAAAAACATTTCGATTATTTTTATACAAAGTAAGTTAACCCCGCTATATTTTTATATTTATTTTTAAAAATAGAATTCGTAATTGAAGATCGAAATACCTTTGTATTTAATGGCAACAACTTTGTAGATAGAGGATAAAAAATGATCATGTCACAATAATATCACAACTAAATGTGAATCTTCAGATAAAAATGACTAAAAGTTGAATTAATTAACTCTAAATTTGTTAGAAGAAAACACTCCCACGTGATAAAGACGCGATTAAAACGGCCAACATTTGCATTCTTAATACTCATGCAAAAAAAAAAAAAAAAAATGTAAATTTTTCCTTTGACTTGGCGCTACCTCATTTTTTTTTTTTTTTAAACCGCGCTACCTCATTTAATTCTTTAATATTTAATTATAGGTAGGTGTGATAAATTTTTTGAAGACAGGTAGCTAGGTGTGATAAATTTTTTGAAGACAGGTAGGTGTGATAAATAAATTTGTAGACACTTAATAAATATAAGTTACATTAATTTATTACGGAGTATTATAAAAACTTGTATGAAACTGTCTCACAAATCGGATCAAAATAAAAATGTAATATTTATTCTGAGAAATATAATACTTGTCAGAAATAGAGTGTTTGTTACTTATAAAGAAAATTGTAATATTTTTGAAGAAAATGTAATATTTTTTACATTTTGATTTAAATTTTTTTTTACATTTTTTGTCTAAAAGTATTACATTTTCTCTCAATAAGTAACCAACATTTTATTATTGATTAGTATTATATTTTTCATATCGATTGGATTCATCTAACGAATAAGTATCTGCAGACAATCTCACAAGAGGATCAGTCATTCTTAAATCTTAATTAGTATTTCTGAAACATTTTTTTTTTATTGTCCGATGATTGTTGATCCAGCTCAGCTATGAATATAATGCGGACGTCACACTGATATAAGCCTTTTGAGATAGGAAATGGTCACAATAAATACACCACACAGCCAGCATAAGTAGTGCCCAAACAATAATTAGCAGTGGATCGGAGAGATATTACCAAATCCCAGACTTCACAGCTCCTCTCCTCAGACCTCTGCAGGTATATATGCATCCAAAATTAAGTTGTCATCTATAGTCTTCCCCTCTTTAATTTGTTCTTTAACTAGCTAGCTATAAAACTTGCTAAATTCTACCAATCTAAATGCATGTACTGATGCCAAGAACCTTTTGGTTTGATGGCATCATATTTTTATTTTTTTTCATATAAAAGGTCACTTGTTCAAATCTCACCCAGTCCAACTAGCAAAGAAAAAATAGGGGTGGGGTGGGGAAGAAATGAAGCTAAGAGAAGAGTAAAAATAGAGTTATGGGTGTCGAAGAAGGAAATCAAAGTGCATTGTAGATTGTAGTAAGCTTGGTTAGTGAGAGTGTACACTCTCATCCCTTAATAGAGGTCAGGAGTTTAAAACTCCCTCTTGATTGTATGAAAAAATTAATATAGCCAACACTTTGAGGCTTAATTGGATGGGTCAGTCCGGTGGAAATGAGATTATTTTGAATATGATACAGGTTTAAATTAAAGGTGCATGTTTCATATCGTTAGGACATACTTATGACACTTCGTGGTCTAACAAAAAAAATACATCGTACTGTGTGGAGGGGTAATTTTGCTTTGAGCGGGAGAGTGGAGGAAACTTGTGAGCCATTAATAAAAATATGGAGTAATGGTAGAAAATGTCTAAAGGATAAAAGTAGATGACATTTTTTGAAGGACTAAAATGAGAAGTAAGATGGCCCTTGCCAAGCACTTTGTGCTCAGATGGTATCTAGTGACCTCTTTCACGAAATCGAGTCTCGGTGGAGGCATTGTTGACTCTGTGTGCTTTATTAGATTGCGAAAATATGTTTAAAAATAAACAAAATGTGATATTAATTCCAAATTTTTCAATATAAAAATGGTGAATTGGGACTCACTTAAAAAGGGAAAATAGCACTTTTTCCCCCTGAGTTATATACATATAACACTTTTTTCCCCTGAATTATTGAAGTGGCTGTTTTTTCCCCTGAAATGTTAAATGGACATATTTACCCTTAAAATAAATATTTTATTTATTTTTCTTCTCCAACACATTATGACCATAATTTGGTTCAAACCAAACAAACACTATACCAACCAAACCGAAATATTTCAATTACAATTTAGAATCGAAACCCAATATTTAGAGTTTATCAAAATCGCGAACCGAAATGGACGGTTCATGTTCCGAACTGAAAAAATAAAATACATTTATTGCTAAATTTAGACTATTTTAAAATAAAAAATAAAATTTTAAAATAAAGACGGTTCAAAATCGCGAACCAGATTCAGAATTTCCGGTTCACAGTTCAGGATCCAATTTTTTGATTCATAATTTTAATAAATTGAAATCCAAATGTTGGGTTCTAGATTTGAATCATAACCGGAAACTTTTAATTCGATTGATTTAGTGTCCGCTTCAGTTTGAACCGAACCGTGGTCATCCCTACGTATACACAATAATTTGTTGGAGAAGTAAAATAAATAAAATGTTTACTTTAAGGGTAGAAATGTCAATTTAATATATTAGGGAGAAAAATCACCACTTTTAGAATAATTGAGGGGGCTAATGTGCTTACCTAAATAATTGAGGGGGAAAAAATGCTATAAGTATATAACTCAAGGAGAAAAAGTGTCATTTTCCCCACTTAAAAATTTAAAAAGAATAGAGTGGAGTAATATTTAAATTAAGAAAGTGAGTGTCTTTTAAAACATATCTAAAATGAAAAATAAAAGAAATTAAGTGTGATGGAGAGAGTATACATATTTATATTTACCGTCAAAATTCATATTTTTATGCATTTTCTTTTCTTTAAAGGTTGGATCGATGGCGCTCAATTATTGTGATAGTGCTACAAGCGATGACCTGTCAGCCCCTTTGCTCCATCAACGGGAAACTTATGATAATGGAAAGGTATGCACTCACAATCTACTTTGCATAGTAATTTATAATTAATAAATGTTATTTTTAATTAAAAATGATCGACCTTCAATAAATCAACACTTTTAAGGTAAATATTTTACAAGCTTAAATAACTCAAGAATAATGTTATTTCCTCTCTTAATTTTATCTCCTAACATTCATCCCCTAACATGACAATAAAATTATTCTTATTTATTGACTATCTACATAGGCGGATCTACAATGGGGCAGCTGCCCCCTCACCCCTCTCCAGCCTTTAATATGTGTGTGTACAAATTAAATCACTAAAGAATTTAGCAATTCAATTGGTTGAACCTTTAATACTTCATGAAATGTTATGTGTTTGAATCCCACATACAACACTTTAGTATATTTTAGCTTCTTTTCTTTATTTTAACTATCCCATCCTTTAATAAATTAAATGTTTTTTTTTTTAATTCTACTTTTTGTATGTGTATATTTTAGTTTCTTTTCTTTATTTTAGCTCTTCTCACCCTTCAACAAATAAAATATTTTTTCTTTTTAAAGCCTACTTTTTTTGTGAATCATTTAATTAACGTAGTCCACAAGTTTATATTATACTTCATCGTGTTCAAATTAATTTAGAAAAATTTAAAGTGAATCTAATTAAAAGAAAATTAAAATTAAAGTATTTATGAATATAATGTCTTTTATATTCAAACTATTTTATGTAATTGATTATGTTTTATATTTTGCCATAAATATTTTTATAACATTTCAAAGTGTTTAAAAATTCCACCCTACCTAAGTATAATTTATAATGTATTTGAACCATATTATAGATGTTTAATATTTTTTCACTGACAATTCTAAACTCATTTTAAGTACGCTCCAACTCACATAATTTTATGGATCCACCCGTGACTATCGAGAGTTAATGGACTCCACCCAATGTTAAAAAAAAAAAGAAAAAAAAAGAAAAAGGGAATTACTTCTTAATCAAATATAAAATTAAAGTAACCAATCAAATATTGTAAGGATACAAGGGGATTAATCTAAAGAAACCTTATATAGAGTTTTATACCAATATCGATCAATAGACTATAATATCTTAACTAGGATAGTTTTAGTTTATTGATGTTTGTGTTTTACTTTTAATTATCACTATATGACAACAATCAAATTATTAAGGGATATAATTATAATTGTTGCAATATATTATTAACTTTAATTACATAATAAAATAGATATAAGATATATTGGAACTCAAGTGCTCATTGTTTATAATTATGAAAGAATTTGAATCTTGTTTATTACTTACACGAACAGGAGAAGCAAGCTCCACAAGATCACGTTTTGAACGTAAGTTATTTAAGTGAACAAACTCACAATGGACACCCTGAAAATGAAAAGGTAATATATATTTGCACTGTGTAAGAATTAATTTTATACTTTTACAAGTTGATCTTTTAACCGATGAACTTTTATCTATTAATAAATTCATTGACATGAACAGGAGAAACAAGCTGGTCCACAAGATCATGTTTTGAACATAGATAATTCAAGTGATCAAACTCACAGTGGACGAAGTAATCATGGAAAGGTAATATTTGCAATGTGCGCGTAAGAATTAAGTCTATATATAAGTAATTTTGCACGTCGATCTTTTAATTGATGAACACTTTCTAATTCATTATCACTTAATTACATGAACAGAAGAAGCAACGTGTACAGTTTTATAAACAGGAGAAGCAAGGTTCACAAGATAAGGCTTTGAACACAAGTTGTTTAAGTTATCAAACTCACAACGGAGGAAGTGATATTGGAAAGGTAATATATACTACATACTATACTAGCTAGCTAGCTACATCCGGCCACATACACATATAGATCAGATAAGAGTTTATTGCACTTTTGGTCTCACGACTATAGTGGCATTATCAAGATTGATCCACGACGACTTTCAAACCTTGCAATCTTGGTCTAACTATTGTTTTTTTTTTTTTTTTTTTTTTTTTTTTTTTTTTTTTTTTTTTGTAAAAATTGTCCTTCCGCCCTATTTTTCGGCCAGTTTTTTGTCGGGAATGGTTCTTACTCCGGTGAAAAATTGACTGAAAATGGTTCGGAATGACCATTTTTGTATATATAAAAAAAAAAAAAACAATATTCGTAGACCAAGATTGCAAGTTTGAAAGTTGTCATGGATTAGATAATGCCACTATAATCGTGGGACTAAAAGTGCAATAAACTCGATCAGATAAACTAAAAATATAAGGGAAAAGGGTCAAACAAGCCCTCCAACTTTAACTTAAAAGTCAATTAGGTCCCTAAACTTTTTAAAGGTGCAATTACACCCATCAACAATTCATTTAGGTGCAATGAAGCCCAAAAACAAGTTAATGACCTGCTATCACAGGTCATTAAGGTTCAGGCCACCTTCCGGCGAAATTTCCGGCAAAAAAAAAAAGAAAAAAAAAGTGATCGGCGAAATTTCCGACAAAAAGAGTGACCACCGACGACAGTTCGTCAGTCGCCGGTCACTTTTTTTTTTTTTTTTTTTTTTGCCGGAAGGTGGCCTGAACCCTAATGACCTGTGATAGCAGGTCATTAATTTATTTTTGGGTTTCATTGCACCTAAATGAATTGTTGATGGGTGTAATTGCACCTTTAAAAAGTTTAGGGGTCTAATTGACTTTTAAGCTAAAGTTCGAGGGCCTATTTGACCCTTTCCCAAAATATAATAAAATTTAGGAATAAAGTTCAAATAGGCCATCCAACTACACACAAAAATGCAATTAGACCATCAAACTCAAAAAACTACAATTAAGTTCCTGAACTACGCAAACTAATGCAATTTCACCAAAAATGACTTGTTTACCTGTTGTGTCGGTTTCAATAATTTTTAAATTTTTATTTTAATAATTTTAAATAATAAATTATTTTAAAATTTAAAAAAAAAAAAAAAAAAAAAAAAACAATCTACCGGAGACGAAGGGATCCCGTTCGTTTCCGTCCCTGGACGGAAACGAAGAGGTCCCCTTCGTCTCAGGCCAACCAGGATAAAAGTTAAAAAATTATTTTTTTAATTTGGTAACCGACACATCAGCGTATCAGCAGGTAAACAAGTCATTTTTGATGAAATTGCATGAATTTGTATAGTTTTGCGACCTAATTGTAACTTTTTTGAGTTGGGTGACCTAATTGGATGTTGGTGTGCAATTGGATGGCCTATTTGAACCTTATTCCTAAAATTTAATTCCCTTAACTAATTTTACGTGGCATATATGATGTGGTCAATGATCAGGAGGGCAAACCAAGTGGTGACAATCTTAAACCAACTTTGGTATCCATTGGCCCCAAGTACGAATTCAAGACCCAAAAGTACAAGGGTACCCATTACAATTCTTTTCTCAAAAGGGGAGGGGAGGGGACAACAACATCAAACATGATAAGTATGTACCGAAAACACCTTAAGGACCCGAAGTTGAAATTGGTGGAAAAAGCCAAAAAATACTATGCCGATATTGGAATCAACTGGTCTGATCGTGATGAAGACTTGGTGAACATGTTGCTGATTGATGGTGGCTTTGTGGTGGATTTTGTTCTTAAATGCAAGGAGGGTGGCAAAAATGACCCTCGCATAAAAGAAGAAGGGAAGGAAGCCCGTAAAGACATGTTGTGCTTCGGGAATCAACTCCCTTTTGATGTCCTCAACGTCCTCTATCAAACACTGATTGGCTATACCAAAGAGGCAGACCCTCCGAGTTTCATAAGATTGGTGAAGTTCGCATTTGCATCCTTCGCCCCCAATATTACCCTTTCCAATTTTTATGATGATACAAAACCTGAAAACCCCCTTGATATACTCCATGTGCTCCACAGCCTTTGTCTTCCAGTCAATCCCCCCAACCAACAAAACCAAACAGTACTAGACAACAAAGAATGGCCCACAGTGGTGCATATTATCAGTGCCACGGAGCTTCAAGACGTGGGAGTTAGGTTTCAAAACACTGGCGTAGTCTACACTATGCCAAGGCAATACCACACAGTTTCATCGTTAAATGAGTGCAATGATACAACAAGCCTATTCGACATAACCTTTTCTGGCGGGGTGATGAAGATTCCTTCTTTCAAAGTCGATGACTTCACTGAAATATTCTTCCGAAACATGATTGCCCTGGAGCAAAGCCGCACTCTAAAACCCAAATACTACACAGATTACGCCAGATTGATGGACCACCTTGTGGACACCAATAAAGACATCAGTTTGCTCCGCAAGAATGGGACGATTCACAACCTTTTAGGTGAAGATAAGAATGTGGCCGATGTATTTAACAGTGTGTGTGTTAAGGTAGATATCACCACCAACTTCTATTTTGCACCGCTCTACACAGCTGTGAATCGCCATTGTCGCAACACACGCCTTGTGTGGAAGGCAAGACTAAAAAATGATTATTTCTCCGATCCGTGGAAAGGGATTTCCTCTATTGCTGGCGCTATCGTCTTGTTACTTGGTGCCGCCCTCACACTCAAAAGTCTACTTTCTTAGAACTTAATTAATTAGCTTGTCGTAATAACATACATTGTTATTATATTAAACCAAATCAAAATGTCATGAAGTGGTTGTTAGTGCCTTAGAGAGGAGTATGTAGTAGAATTTCAAGTGGGTTTATGGTTAATTAGTTTAGGTGAATAAAGTTAGTGGAGAAGTGGCATATTATTACGATATATAGTGAAGTGACTATAAATAGATTGCATTATTTTCATTTCAAAACATACCAAGTAGTTGTATCAAAAGTTTCATTCCTTTAAGTGGGAGGTTGTGGGATCAAGCCACAGTGGATGTGATATTGGCTCTTTGTGCTTCAATTGGTTAAGAAAGTAATTATGAACAAATAGTATATTATAATAGAGTCAATAGTAAGACTCTCCTTGTACATACTATCTTTCTCTCTAAAATCTTCCGATTATTGTGATTATTGAACATACGCAGACTGTTCCTAGAACTCTCATCTGGTATCAGCTTGCTTCAATTCGTTCCTATGGCCAACATTAATGCTTCTGCTGGCGGTGGTAACGATGGCCAAACTGTTTTGTCGAGTCGCACGGTGACTGAGATTTCTTTCTGCTCATCCGTTGTCCGCTCTGAATATGCTGCACCAGTTTTTAACGCTGCGTACGCTCAATGGATTTAGCAGAACCAATCCATATTGAGCATGCTGATATCTTTGATGGCGGAAGAAGTTTTGTATTTAGCGATTGGTCATGAAACCTCTAGGTCGATCTGTCTGGCTCGTTGTTGAAACTGCCTTGGGTTCAGCCTCCCGTGCCCGCTCTCTCTAACAATTCCTCTGGTTGCAAATTTGGCTCATCATGCGCCTATTGATGATTTTAATTCTACGCCGTTTTCAAATGCAATGTGTGGTATCTTTTTCTGGTTAAAAATATCCTCAATTTTTTAACCATTAATATTTCCGGCATTGGCCGGTAATTTAGCCAGAGTGACTAAAATTGACAAAAATTGTATAATCAAGGTATTAAATTGACACTTCTGAAAGTCAGGTGCTGAAATTAACGAAACTCTTATAATCATGTGACCAAAATTAAAATTTTATCTATTATTGTAGTACATTTGAAACATTAATCTCTATTACTATATATATTTCTAACATGTAGGGCTCTAGGAGAAAGTACGAGCTAGTACGTGAACCACATGAAGAGGAAAGTAGACTTTTCCAACATTATTAATGAATACCCGACGACAATTGCAGTATTTTTTTTTTTTTTTTATCTTCAACTAACAACATTGAATTCCGACAACTACATGCTAGCAAAGGAAAGAAATTAAATAATAGTCAAGAAGTCGCAGAAAGCTACCAAACCTTATGTTAAAAAGTAGCATTGCATTATAGAGGGTGTCCTGCCATTATTAAATTTCACGCAGTGCAGTTCCTGTTGATATTATTTCCACTTGCATCTTCAATTCAGTGAAACCTTACCCACAATAATCAATCAAAAAAATTAAAGTTGCAGTTGCATCAATCACACACAAACAGATCTAGGCCCGTCTGGTAAAGGGTTATTAGCTAATAGTTGTTAGATGGTATGACTAGTTGATAACATTAGCTGATTGTAGAAATGTGTTTGGTAAATTAGTTGTTAGCTAATACACATTTGGTATAATTTTTTTTCTCAAAAAGTTGAATTATTAAGATTTAAATAAAAAATCCTTATAAACATGCATGCTTGATTCCCATTATCTTCCGGCAATTACATAAAAGAAACTTAATTCCATACAACACTGATAAACCTAATTAAAATCAAACTCAATCTCCCAACTCCATATAAGTTGTACTCAAACACTCCTAAATCACCTATAAATAGCCCAAAACTCAGTACTCCATCACCACTGAAACAGAATATTGAGGAAGAGCAATTTAGAGCTTGACTTTTTAATCAGGTAAAATTTATATTATCACATTTTTCTTTATCAGACAAGCCTTTATCTGCAGGGGTAAGAAAAAGACTTGCAAAGGACAATACAACTTAAACGAATAAGGAAAATTGTCCGGTTCGTTATAAGCGTATTTTCATGGTCCACTG